ATGTTGTAATTTCGTAGTCCTACTTCAGTACCGTTTAGAATTCCCAAACAGGCGTTGCCTTTTATCTAGCATAAGGAAAAACAGTTGCTGTATTAGATACTGTCAGGAATTTAGAAAGGGGTGCAGAAGAAAATGACAGTCTGAAGGCGCTTACTGAGATAATGAGATAGTTCTCAGGAGGGAATTCGTAATGAGCAGCATATCTGCCTCCATCTCCAAAGCTTAAAGCCAAAGGCTTGAAGTATTTTTTAACATCACGGATACTCTTGAAAGGTTTTTTACCTTTCCAGCATACAGGAAGTGTGTCATCATCAGTCGCATCTTTCAGAGACGTTCTATGTAAATCTCTCATCAACTGCAAAGCAATTATTATTTCTTAAAAACTAACAAAACTTGTAATTACTAAGGCATTGTTCTTTTCATCTGCATTCTACTTATTTGAAATAATCGGCCCTAATTTGAAATTTTGAATGTAAGTACTAACAGTGTAAATAAACTTGGTAGCACCTATCTGAACTCATTGTTCCTTAACTAATCTTGTTTAGAACAAACTCAACAAAGCCTTATTCTACAAAACAATACAATAATAAATAGAGTTTATGGCTTTGTTTTCTTTTTCAAGATTCTCACCAGGGAAACTAGGGTGTTGTAAGCTTGAGAAGCTAAATACGTGTAGGAACTCCCACTGTCGAAAATCACCAGAAGATTTTCAACTCCAGTTGCTCTCCGACCATAAATGAGCTCAGCAAATCCAGGTGAGTAGTGTTTCCTGGAAACAAACATTGTTTTTCAACATGGGGCAACCATAAATAAAACCAAAGTTTAACAATACCGAAAAGGTGAAAATGGTCTTACGAGTGACCCTGAGTAGTATTTGTCCAAACCAATCGTGAAGAATCATATAAATGATCTCCAAAGAAGATATAACCTCCCCCTCGCCCACTTAAGCAGTGACCGACAACATTCTTGGTCAAACCCTGATCACTGAGTTGTGAAACAATGCTGACTTTCCCCTTGCCAAGGCCAAGTACCCCATCCAAGGGATGGTGAGATGAGCCAGGGATTTGATCATAACCACATCTGCAAATTTAGTAAAAATCGTTACACCAAACTAACCATTTAAACAAATTTACACAAAGCAGGCACACACATTAAAGAACTAACCCAATTCCTAGACGAGGGCTTTGTCTGTCTCCGTTTGTGAGGTTAAAATGCATTTCATCTCTTAAAAGAACACCAAGAGAAGAACCACCATCTGCATACTCAACCTCATAATCACATTGCTCAGGGCTTTCACATTTGTAGTATTCAGGTTGCACCGCAGCACAGAGGGGATCTCTCGAAGCTACTAGGTCAGTGCTGGGTTTATAAAGGGGATGAGGAGCCTGCAGTTAATTTTCAAACACAAGTAATAGTCAGTAAAAGCATGAGACTATACTTTGGAGTTTGACAAAGTCACCAGACCGAAAAAACCCCATTCCTATGATTTGAATCACAGTATGTTTACTTAAAGTAGATAAGATAAAATCAATGAGAGAATAGAGTATATTGTTAAATGCAGAAATAATCACAAATCAATCAATTTGAGAAAACTAAAATTGCCACTTACCCTGGTACATCGGACACAGGGTGCATCACATTGGAGCCAAGTGAGATCACTGCCTGTATCAGGATCAAGAAAGTAGGGTCTTGGAGGATTTCCTACCAGGACTGGTACATAGTAAAATCTGCAATGCAATTACTGAAATACTTGAGAGACTAAATTCTTAAAAGATAACAATAGATATTTAACTTCATGAACCTATACTATGAATTCAGAGATCATTGTGCTATTAGTCAGCAACAAAACAATGGTCACCATCTAGGAGCATATGACATTCGCAGCCTACATCAAATTGACAAAACTCAGAGAAAAAACTAAAGTCCCCCCCCCCCCCCCCCCCTTTTTTTTTTTCCTCCCCATGATCTGCAAGAAAGATTAAAGGATATATCAATGAGTACATACCATGAGATGCACCCAATTACATGAATTTTACTACTCAGTGTGTCTGAACTCTGAAAAGACTAGTAGAATATTGCCCAGATTTTTAGAATGATAATCTATCACGGGCACAATTTGCATATCAAAGTGGACAATGTCTGACTAGATTATATCAACTATCAACCCAAAACCAGTTGATAGAAAATCAAACTACTCCTCTGTTGGTGTAGTTGTCACATTATCTCAATTTGTCACATTCAAGGATTCAATATGATCTTAAATTACCTTGACAATAGCTGTATCCCTCCCAATTTCTATCCGCCATTTATTCCAAATGGGAATATACATTAAAACCCAAGCACAATCCATCAGTTTTTTAGGAAAAGATTATCACTTTTTTGAACATCCCAGAATGATATATGTGACCATTAATTTCGGTTAAAGGGTACTTAATATGACAATTGGACACATCATATTAGACCATAAACAGAATTTCCAGAAAACAGTCCACCAGATTACATAGATTATATCTGATCCTTATCTGTTACACCAAGCAACACAGATCACACATTACGCCCACATTCTAATAAGTAATAACTAACCTCTGAAACTATCAATGCAAGTTTCTCAATTTCACCAAGCTTCTACTATACAAATACCAGCAATTTCAGCAGAATCTCAATGAAAACAGACTTTAAACACTTATCAACCTTAACAACCAACAAATGCTTAATAAAGACTAAACTATCGATCGAGTCTCCAACCATCAGTTCAACCATTTTAATCGAGCTAGTTCTCTAACAGCACCCAAACTCAATGAAAACAAAAGAAGAAGATAAAGAGAAATCGAACGAGAATTACCCTCGAGGATAGACGTTTCCATACATAGGAAGAACAATAGAAGAAACCCTCCGATGAAGAGAATTGGATGAAGAACTTGCTCCTAAAAGCATTGGACGACCTCTATAATAATAATAAGGTTGTCTTTCATTACCATTGAAACTACACTCTAACATTGATGTTGTGCTCAGAAAGAGCAACACAAACCACCATAACATCTCTATTGACCATCTTCTCATTATCTTCACGTTTTCGAACACAATCAGATATTAGTTTCTACAGTTGGGATTATTATCAAGGGTCGTTGAAATAGTTGTAAAGTCTTATTTATACTAATGCTAAAAAACAAGCACTTTATAAAAAATAAAAAATAATTAAAATGATTCTGTTGGGATTTCTTGACTTGTTAGATGAAAATATGTATTGCCTACATTGGAATAAATTGTTATGGTGACATTGTTTTTGCTTCTTTAAGGATTTTTCATATGTTCTTTTCTTGTTATACAATGAAGGGCAAAATAATACAGTATTGAGCTATTGACCCAACTGTAATTCTGACTTGGGGGGTTAAAGAAAAGGATTCTTTTCTTTTTTATTATCTTTAGGTGGGAAAAAGGAATCCTTTATACAATAAGCTTTATGTATTTTATGTTAGATCATTGATACTCTATTATACAAGTATAAGTTTTTTTTTTTTTTAAACTTTATAGGAAGTATTATTATATATTAAGACTTTATATGAGTATTAGTTTAGGAATATCAATAGACCAAATGGGTAGGACATTAGGATTAAAAAAGGAAATTTCCTGAAAGTTTCCTAGAAAGTATATTTCTGGACCAAAATGATTGGATATCAATTTTTTTACTATTGATTAAAATGGTATGGCCTATGAACACGAAGACAAATTATGGAAGTGGGCTTACCAACTTTGTAAAAGACAATAATAGCCTACCCCAAGATCTATAATAGTTCATACGTCTGAAAACTCTAAAATTATATATTACATGACCAGTTCAAATTACACGATCAATATTTATCACATAACCGGTTCAAACTATCAACACGATAATTGACTCTGGCCATAGAAAGTATTTGTATATAAAATACTCTTAACATAATATAATATGTTAATGTGAAGAAAATGGAAACATTTAATAAGACAATTAAAATATTTTATTGTGAAGAAAATGAGAAACAATTAGGACTAACCTGTAAAATTGATATGCAACAATCTGAAGACGAAAGCAGCAGCAAAATCCACGCAGTAGTTGTGACATAAACAGGCTGGCAGCATAGCCTTCAAATAAGATTGTGTTTAGGAAGTCAGTTATTGAAAAACATCCCCAGCTAAATTCCTACGAAGCATGTTATATCAAATTCAATCAGCAATTACTAAAGGATTTCGTTTTATTAAATTGTCTTCCAACTTTCCAACCTGTGCACATGTGGCAAAGACACACATTCCCCTCTTGAAAAAACTATACAGAGTACTTTGTAATAAATTATCCCTTCACATAGCTAGGTTAACATAAACCAACTTCGGATGTCACATAAAGAAGTACGTAGTATAACACTATTTCTATAGTAAGTTTTATCGTTTAAGTGAAGACCCGCGCCGACCCAACCAAGGAGGGAGTTTACTAAGGAACACGCGTGATATAAGCAGAAATCTTCTTACTAAAAAGTCATGGTGAACAATTGACTTATATGCAGATTATTGGGTCTGAGCAAGAATTTGATTTCTTCTTTAGGTTTCTCTCACATTTTTACCTCCTTTTTCATCTTTATTAACTAAAAATGCAATCTTGTACAAAGTATGCTCAAGTCTTTTATGTGAGGAGGGAGAATTATGAGCATCTTGATAACCTGTCCCCATAATGTCATTATACTCTGGCATTTATATGATACTACAAAAAAAAATAAATATATATATATATATATATATATATATATACTGACCAACACTTCTTATAAGTCAATTTTTTTTTTTTTTTTTTTTTTTTTTTGAAACTCACTTCTTATAAGTCAGCCAACTAGTTACATTCTTTGTTTCCTAGGTCACACTTGAGAAAAGGGAGAAGGTAAGGGAGTCCCTATTCTTGCAACGGGTAAGGGAATCCCTTTTCTTGCAACGAGGCACTCAAAATAAAATTTATATACAACATAAGCATTTTCCACTAGGAAAATAATTTGTTCAATATCTACTCCAAAAATTTACAATGCCATCACAGGTATGTTGCATGTTAAGACAAAGAATCAGATTCTGCTCATATCTTACTCAAAGTATCACATACATGAAAACCCTTAAACCCCTATGTTGTGACTTGTGAGAACTCTATGCCAATCTACAGAATACATTGCTCCACTAATTCTCAAACTTCTCTGGTAGCCTTATGGTATGCAAAGCCAGCTTCCCAAAATTTGCCTGCAACTTAGCCCTGACACTTCTTATGAGAATCCAGAAAAAGCTTGAACGACCCTGGAAAATAAAAACTGGGTTTAAAACTCCAGGAGAGCCAGAAACAAGCAGCCAGCAACATCCAAGGCAATCATCAATCAGGCTGTGGAGGATATTATTCAGAAGAAATGGATTTCTACATATAACATATTCCGACACACATCATAACGGGAAATGACTTGCACTTAAGAAACCCATGGAAGTAAAAAGGTCTGAGAAAGTAAAGTCTGAGTATAGCTAATTAAGAAACTAGTCAGTTATTTGGGTCATCTAAAATAGAGGGTGTTTGACAAAGAAAAATACCCAACTCGGCATCTTTCAATGACCGGTGCAATTCCTGATCCAAGCTTCTCTTTGGCAACTATTCCAAGATTTCTAACTAAAGTCAAGATGCTTAAAGGAGATGAAGCAAAAAGATGGATTAACAAGGAAAGAACTTGACCTAACCCAGCAAACATCACAATAGTGGACCACAAGTGCAGAATGATGTGAAGCAGCTTACCATTCAAGAAAAACTTTCTTCTACATATAGTCCACAGGGAAAAACCAGTCGGTAATAGATCGATATTTGTGGCATCTCTTACAGCCCTAGAGAAGTACTCCTTCCATCCCAGTACAATTGCACTGAAATTAAGGGGGGAAAAAATAGAAGGCTGATTGCGGCTTCCGACTTCAAAGAAAAAGTGCCAAGAGTCCCACCCCCATCCGCCCCAAAAAAAAAAAACTACTAAAACTGCCAGAGGACCTGATGTATCAATAATTTCCAACTCAACAAGGATTTGTTCATCTAGAATCGTTTGGTTACTACATAATCTCAATCCTCAAATACCCTAAAAGATATAATGCTCTCCACTTGATCTCCTTTATCTCTGTTTGCACTCCTCAATTATGGAGTCTTCAGGCCTTTTGAAGACAGGATCTCAAATCACACACCTAAAAAAAAAAAAAAAAAAAAAAAGACAATACAATCTTCAATATATGGAGTACTTCATCATTTCGAATGCAATAATTTCACATTGGCTTTTGAAGTCCTTGTCCTTTCATTTGTACATTGTCATCATTATTTAAAGAATTTCTCCTATTAAGAAAAGAAACCTAAATAGCATTTATTCAGCACTAATCTTGTAGACTTTTTGACATAAAAGCAGGATATGAATGGTTATCTGAAGAGCCTTCACATCCGCCAACCCACCACAACACTTCCTCTAGAAATATGTTTTCTCAAACTCCTACCCCATTATACAAGCACACAATCTACATAGGATCTCCACCAAGGTAGCAGTCACCTAAAATCTAAAAGCAAAATTTCATCAAAAGAGATTCAAAGACACTAGTATCGAATCTCTATATTACCACCAAAAGCAGGGGTGAATTTAAAGAAGAAGAGGCTGATTGTCCATCTTGCCATAGTAAGCTCTCCCAGATGGAAAATCAGGAAGGACACAATGCAGATAAAAGATGACAGGATGTAGGAGAGCAGGACTGGCGATACAGGGATATGACCAAAGTTATTATTGAGCAACAGCGCTATTAGTCAGCATTATTCACGTTTTCTATGTGGAGTTAGAGCTGAAGACAAAATCTCCTGCAATACTAATATGACCAAAGTTATTATTGAGCAATGGTGCTATTAGCCAGCATCACTCTCCAAAGCCAGTAATTAATCTATCAAAGATAAATTTATACTTCTCCGTTCTTTAAATATTGCAACGTTCACATTTTTGACACTATTCGCACACTTCTCTTCAACCACATTATGATTTACAGTCAAGGAAAATATATATTCAAGTTGGATCTTGTTAGATTCGACTTAATATATACTTACACATATATTAACTATTTTTTTTTTTAAAGATGTTTACTGTTATATAATTTAAGATACTAAAGGTTTAAACTGTGCTTAGGGAGTTTGGGATGTGTAATTCCCCTCCATGTTGAAATATTAAAGGTATGAAGAAAGTATAACAAATTTAAACACACATGTTCCATTGAAGTACAGGGCAGTTTAGCAGCTATAACACACCTTTATGTAAAGAGAAATCCGACTTTGCGTCTTGTTGAATGTTTGACACAAAAATCTTGGCTGTATCTAAGATCAGCAAGATAGAATATGAATTGTATAAGGACGTTAAACCCTATCAAGCTGGGCCATTTTAAGATAAAAAGATGTAGAATAAGAGTACCACAACACAAGTATTACCTCGCAATGACATGATTGACAACACACCAATGAGAAATGAGTACGCTTGGATGCTTATGAGTGTTGATTTATGCTAGAACATGGTCTACAATTATCCCGTCTTTCAGCTTAGCATCTCTCTACAAGAAATAATAAATCTCTATGTATTTATGCTAGTGAAGGAATACCAACTCAAGCCAGAGACACATACAAGGGCATACAATGAAACAAATTAAAGAATGGAAGAAAAATTACACCACAAAAATTGTAGGATTACATAGAAATTACAATCCAAGAATGAAATTCCTTCGTCAGCATATGGACAATCTAGTACACTGTAAAATTAGTCATGTGGCACCTCTAACCATAAACAACAACATTATAGCCGTAATGCCAAAAGGATGGGTTTGGCTACATGGACAAAGATGTCATCCCCATGAATTGTTCATGTGGATCCTTCTCTCCACCCACCCCAATCCAATGCTATGAACTTAAAGGGCCTAGTTTTGCACACCTCTTTTTATCCCTTCCATTCAAATCGATCTTTGGTCTCCATCGGCTACAACTAATACCTTCAACTTTCCAACTCGTCATCCTACAAAGTGGAGCCTCCTGACGTTGATATTGGACAAAGCAAAATCACCACAATTGTCACGCAAACATGCTATTTTTATAAGCCCAACACTTTGAGCTGATCAACAAACACCAATCCTATAATATTTTCTTCATATATTCAGAGGAATATTGAAATTGCATAGTGTTCAGACACTCTTCCACCCCCCCTCCCCCCTCTTTTCTATCCATCTAGACTTAATTCGGTAAATATCTCAATTGATAACTCCTATCTTCAGGATAAAACTTCCCTACCTAATAATTGGTAAAGTATCAATCTTGCTTTCCAAATTTTGTCTCCAAAGTTCCGACTTATCACTGACATTTGCTTTAAACGCACCCACCAAAACAATATCATCTGGAAACAGTATACACTTTATAACAACAACCCATGCCAGTATTCTATCAAATACAGTGATCCATTCCTTTCACTTTATTCTGCATATTTTAACATATATAACCATTTGCACATTCAACAGGTATCACAGCACATACACAAAGATTAACACAATGCTATTAGGAAGCCTACATTGTATTGTGGGTAACAGAGAGATCCTATTCATAACGATCTAAGCAAGCTTCAGCAGGAGAGAACACAAAAACCCAGATGATAGCAATAATACTTAGCCACAGAATGCTTTCAAGCTGAAAGAGGAGTGGCACAAAAGCTCAAACGATAACAATGAGAAAGAAACCATTCAGATCCTTGAGATTATTGCAATATCGCCTATTTGTCAGTTTGAAAGGTCAACTGACTAATATAGATTGTAATCAATAAATCAGTAGGCAGTTCAACTAATCTCTACAGAATAGTGACTGATTTGTCAACACTAACAAAATAGTTTCTTAATCAAAGAGTGAAAAATGATTCTTCGCAAGAAAAAGCAAAAGAAACTAGTTGTTTGTTCCTCCTTTCTCCGCCTTACTCAGCATTTCTTTTACCACATCCAAACAAAATTGATAGCTGATAGCTGCCAGGCCACAAATCCTGACAGAAAGGTGAGCCTAAAAAGACAGATGCTAGGAACTGCAGCATAGGAGAAAGAAAATAAGGGCGCATTTGATTCAAGGGGAAAGAGAGAGTTTAAGAAAGGGAAACATGAGGAAAATAAAGGATAGACTTCAAATTTGTCTTATTGTTTGTTTTAGATCTAGGTATGGAAATCACTCAATATTCCACCACCCCTTCCTTTCTACTCTTCCACAACCACAACTGCAAACACCCAACTCAAAAGTGTCGCCCTAGTCATAAAGAAATTGATTATTACACTATAAATCCCAAGTTTTGGTACATGATAATCAAACTTGTCAGCATTAGCACCATGAGGCGTATCACAACTTTTGTAAACTTGTAACAGCTTTTATTGTGGAATTTTGATAACGCTGTGTCAAAGAACCCAACAAAAAGGTTTTTTTTGGTTATTTCAATATTTGTCAATAGCATAAGAATGTTTTGTGTTTTAATATCTCAGTGGTAATTAAGCCCATAGAATTGTAAGAAGGGTAGCATGACATGCAGATGTGGCCTCCATCTAAAATAAGCAAATCTATTGGACTATCTCTTAAACCGTCAATGTCAATCTCCAAATTTTCACCAAAACTCCAAAAAAAAAAAAAGCTTCAAGTTATTCCAGTTACTCATCTTGAACTTGCTGAACAAACCTTCATCAAGGGAAGTTTAAGGCCTTTCCCAGATGTTTAAGCACATGGGAGGAAAGGCCTTTCCGAGATCTTAATAATGGTTGATACCAAATGACCCCAATTTTATATGTTGGAGCTTCATAAATGTTGGTATACTTAAGAATCTGTCTCTCAAGCAATGGCTTGTATCTTCTCCCAAAATTTCCATCTCAACTAGTGGCGCTCTTCAAAATATTTTCATAAAAGGTGAAGACCTAAAAGGGGATATTCGCCAAGGTATCCCCAAACTTCTTTCTCTGATTGGGATATCTTCTAACACACTTTACTCTTTAGTCATGGATATAAATTTCAAGTTCCATCCTACTCAAATTTTTATTTTTTTTTAAAAAAAACAATAACTTAGATTGTTTTATATAGAAGATCTAAGTTTTATTGGCGTTTCAGTAACACTGCGTCCTTTCTCCAACGGACCACTCAGAAGAGCCAGGCAGCCAGATCTAGATGATATCAAATCTCTCAAATCCTTTGCAGCACATAGCCACATAGCACACAAAATTGGCTAAATACCTCAAATAATTAAATGCTTGCAGCCTAAGATCAGTAGTATAAATTTTGCATACAGTTGCATGCAATCTAAACTCTAAACTATAAACAAAAAACCTCATCTTGATGGTTAACATGCAATTTGAAAGCGGACACTCAGCCTAAGCTTGGTCCATGAAAGGCTTGTAACTCTTCAAAAGCCATCTCTTGACAATCATAGTGAGCTCTGACACTTTCTTTTTTTTTTTTTGCTCTTCTATGTCTCCCTGAGGTTTGTGATTAACTAACAGCCTTAATTTTGTGCCAAAGAAAAACGAAAAGGAACACTATATTGTACCTATTATCCCCATTTTTCACATCCAATGACATGTAAATCTTTTTTGTAAAGGTTATCTTTGCAATCATCATACTAACACAAATCAACCATTGAGTGCTAACTGCTAACACAAGAAATAAAAGTCACAGCTACAGGATTGAGAGAAGTTGTATCTAGGCAAGAAATAGAACTATCACATCTACAAAACGAAAACTACAAAATAACCCACTGATCCTCAGTCTATGAGAAAGAAAGCACCACTATTATACTCAGAATAAAAACTTATCAAGGTGCCTCCAAAATATTGACTCACAAGCAAAGCACTAAATAAAATACCAAATAAAAAGATGATCAAACAATCTAGAAGTATCTAGTTTTCTCAAAAGTCGAGTTGCTTAGGAAAAAAAATACTAATCAGGACAATCAAATACAAACTAGAACAATATTCAATCAGTTTTCATCTAATCTACAAAGATAGTCAATTAGTCCGCAACTTATTAATCACTATCCATTCCTATAGTCCATAATTTAGCCGGTCAAGTGAAAGTAGGATAGAGGCAAGTAAGGGTGCAAACAAGGCTGGAAGCCGTCCAACTTCCACTAAGAACACTGATTTCATTAAATTATGGCTTCCTAAACAACTCCCAGTGTCCTTATGGAAATTATGGCTTCCTCTAATCTGTGCCCTAAATAGGAACCATCAACCGCATGTCTCATCATTTACATAAGCTATAAAACACAAAAGCAAAGGGAAAAGATCCTTGCATAAAGGGAAAACACCACAGGTGCAACTAGTAATTTACAGACAATTTTTCGTTTCCCGTGACGCCAAAACCCCTCCCTTCTACTTCTACCCAAAACTCATGATTTTGTATACAAAGCTTAAGATGCAAACATCTCAATTACATACAAAAGCAGTATCATGTATTACACAGCAAAATGAAGATTCTCACCAATAAAAAAATATTTTCTCTGTACTGGAGGAGCTGGGAAGTAGGAAGACTAAAAGCCAGACCTTCAGAGCTTAGAAAGATGAATCCATGCTAAGAAGCAGTAGTGAATGCTGGTGATTCCTCACAGCACTTCAAAACAATTGCCGGAGCCCCATTATCTAGCTTATAACTGCTATGGATTAAGTTTTCTTTACATTGTGGGATTGATGAGTGCCTTCTGCTATATGTCTAAGTATAATAACCAAGCTCCAATTTGCACCTTTCAACTTTTGACAGCCTCCTCCTATATGTCCTCAGAGGGCAGTCATGTTCCTCCTTGATCTTTACAGCTCCTGATGACCACCGCCTACAGCGCGTTCTCTGAGAGGAATCAGGTTCTTTCTTGCCCTTAGCTTCTAATGATGCTCGCCCCTTCCTGCTATACGTAATCAAGCAACCATCTAGATCACCATCTTGCTTCTCATCTTGTATTCTAGCACACTTATGCTCAAAAGCTTGTATAGTTTCAGGACACCCACTTTCCCCATCACCTCCAGCATTGCTAGGTTTGCTGGAGCAACTTGGATCAATAGCTGCCTGCAATCCAAGACCATCCACCTCAGGCACATCCTCACATTGCGTATTCAACAAACACGAGTTCCTCGATATCCTAGGTGAGCTATTCATCGCTCTATGCAACCTGAAAGCCAATTGTGCATCCACATCAACCGCTGAACCTTGTTGATCACCACCCCTATCTACACTAACCAAACCCACAGCTCTACTCGCTACAGCAATCGCCTTCGTTGCATCCATCACCTTGTTAAAAGCCTTCTCCTTCGCCTCAAGGGCAACGGCAACCTTCTTCTGAGCAACAACATGAACATCATTCAAAGCATCCTCACCTCTCCCCATATCCTGTGAATCACAAACCCCAGAACTCCCCAACGAATTCGTCAAATCACACCCGGTTTTCGCCACTTTACTCTTAATTTTACTACCAAGAACCCTAGCTTTATAATCATTCTCAATCAATTTCGGAACCCAACAATCAAAACAAACCGAAAAATCATCACAACAATTATTACCATTACCTGAACCAAAAGGAAACATCGAAGCGCACGCCTTATGAACCCTACGTCGACATCTCTTGCACTCATGAAACGACTCCATTGATGAAGATGAAACCCTAGTTAAACAATAAGAACAATATTGCGACGATTCAACGAGACTATAGCAACATTTACAAAGAAGAACGATTCGCCACTCACTAGCAAGGATTTGAAGGCCATTTTTAGGGTTTGTACTATTGATGTGACGATTACAGCAATTGCAATCAGACAAATTGGGCAACTCCCTCGTTTTCTTCATCCGATGATTTGGCGGTGCAGGTGGAGGAAAGTCCGGCGAATCCGCCATTGACGCCGGCGAAGGTCTCTTCATCGGAGCCGCCGATGATGAGGAGAGAGAAAATTAGGGTCGGAATTTTCTGCAATGCGAGTTAGGGTTTTTACAGAGAGATTTTGGGGGTATTGGTGGCTTGGTGCTTAGCACATTGGAGGTTTTTTTTGTCAGAAAAATACTGTTTGTATTCTCTCTGCCTCTGTTTCTGTTTATTTTTTCTCCCTAAAATTTTCTGTTTTTTTTTATGTCCTATTAAAAAAACAGGAACCTTAATTTCCTGAAGTTTGCAAGAATTCAAATTCACAAATTCTAGATTATGATGTGTGGATTGTGGCATACAAATTTGTGATTTGGTTTTAGAAGATGTACGAGTAGAATTCCGATTGTGAATTGTGATGCCAGTATGACATCGTTTGTGATATCGTGGAATTCAGGTGTTGGTTATAACTGAGAATCTGACATGTGTTTATATATCGTGATTTTTTTTTTTCCCACAACCAATTTAGAGAAGGTCGTGGTTAATGAAGTTATGATATGTTAAGAAAAATTTTAAATGCAGAAAGGGTATGTTATATTTACCTAATTTTTTTATTTGAAATACTCTTATCAATTAAACTTGGATATCCCATTATTTAATCTTAATAAGAACTTATTATCTAAAACTAACTGTATGGTTACTCCTAAGACCTGAATTAAACTTCCTTTTCAACACCATTGTAGTATATTGTTCCATTTTTGATTATTTTTGTACACCATTATAGTAAGATACAAATAATCCAGCACCAAAAATATGACTGGTACATCAGAGTAACTTAAATAGGTATGATCATGTTAGTAATAGTTTGCTGCTCCATCAGTAGATTAACAAATTTTCAGAGAGAAAAGATCTAATGATTATAGTTCTTCTCATAAATACAGTTCTGTTTTACATCTTGCAAACTGATATAAGGTATTAAGGGGTGATTACACGCAAGATAGTGTCATTGATGAATGATGAGCATTCCCCTTCAACCGAAATGTCCCTAGCAAAAGCATTTTGCAGCTGCTTATTGAGTAATTGTAAGCGAAATCATATACAGCTAAAGGCTTTGGTTTGGACTTGATCACTTCAGAACTGTCTTTAATTTTCTGAACCTAATAGGGGATTGCAAAGTAACATTAATTATATTCAACTAGAAACTGCAACATTGAAATGAGAAGTAGTAAGCACACAAAAGAAAGTTAAAATTCTGAAAATCGCGTCTTATGAACTGAACAGCACCGATCTTACTCACAGAACAATAGATAGCAAAGGTCCAAAAGTCTCCTGTCATTAAAGGAGAGTTATGGTGCGTCTAGGAAGATAATTGGCGCTGTTTTCCTACATTGTCCAAGTAAAGACAGTATAATAAGAACTAGCAATAATGTGCATGGTAGCATATTATGTACTGAAATTGAGCTACTAAAGGCCAAGTCATGACTACTTACAAATGCTTTCCTTCTGAGTTATGATTGATCACCTAAGAGGCTAAGACGATCTTTAGAGACATCATCTTCCTCCATTAGTTTCTTTAACCGTGTAAAATGGGCCAATAGCAATCTTGACATGATTTTCAATTCCATAAGATCAATTCAAAACAAATTGGTCCTACTCTGATTTCAGAGCCATCAATCTTATCAATATTAAATTGATACTTGATTCTCCTAGGTAAATAAATCCTTAGCTAGAAGGGTTTCCTGATTTTATATCTTTCATAATCTTAATTTAAAGAAATGGTAAATATTTTAGATATTATTTCATTATACAGCAGAATTGTAAAAACAACAATTAGAAATTGTAAAACCAATACTATAATAAATTAAGAAGTGTACATACACAAAATCATTATTTCTGTTACATGTGGTATCAAAAAATTCCCTCAAAAAACAAAACTTTATATCAATCTTTATTCTTTAGACCATCCAAGTAGGGCAGGAATGATCTGCATAATGCTGCCACTCAACAAAGACTTCAACAGATTTAGCTTCTTCAGCGTGTATGGTGGATACCTAATTGATGAATCCCCATCAAAACTTCTGTACATAACGGCCTTCTTATGGCTGAATGCCTCAAAAGAGAATTTTCCATGGTAGTAGCCCATTCCACTCTCACCGACTCCTCCAAATGGTAAAGCATCAACAGTTAGCTGTATCGTCAGAAAAATAAAAATTTTGTCAGAGAAAAAAAAATGATTTCTGTTTTGCAGAATTGATTTAAGGAAATGAATAATTACATGCAAGATAGTGTCATTGATGAGCATTCCTCCAGCTGAAACGTCCTTGACAAAAGCCTTTTTAAGCTTCTCGTTGTTAGTGAAAAGATATGCTGCTAAAGGCTTTGGTTTGGACTTGATCAATTCGAAACAATCTTCAATTTTTTCAACCTAAAAAAGGAAATGGCAAAGTAACATTAAGTGACACTTATAATCAACTAGAAAATATAATAACAAAATGAAAAGGAACAGTGATATATAAAAAGTTCAACATTCTCAAAACCGAGTTTTATGGATTCAACACTAATCATACTTACTGTAACAATAGGTAGCAAAGGTCCAAAAATCTCCTCTGTCATCACAGCAGAGTCTTTTGGAGCATCTACCAAGATGGTTGGCGCTATTTTCCTACATTGTAGAAGTGAATATAAGGTAAGAGCTAGCAAAAATAAAGCGTAGTATGCAGGAATATATGATGTTATTAAGACCACTGAGCTTAAGCAACTAAGAATCATGGAGCATTGCACGCCTTACAATTGCACTTCATCTGTTTGACCACCTAAGACAATCTTATCAGAGACACCATCTTCCTCCATTAGTTTGATTAACCGTCTAAAATGGTACAAGTTTACAACTCTTGACATGTCTTTTGATTCCAAAGGATCCTTCCCAAAAAAGTTGTCTAACTCCGAACTTAAACCAGCAATCTGTCAACCAATAAGGGAAATATCAACATATAAGACAATCTATAACCAATAATCAGTCCACAACTCCATACATTATAAGATATCAACAAGAACAGTTGCATTACTAGCTTTGAAGCAAAATCTATAGTGGTAATGACATAATCCGCAGCAGTGCAGGTCTGCCCGCTATTGCAGGACCACTTTCCTGCTATGATTCTTCTTGCTGCAACCTGTAGCTAAAATTATGAGGAACAAATACTTACAAGGATAAGTATAAATAGAAATTTTTAGTAAAGGAAGGATTAGTACTTGCAAATTGACATCAGAATCAACAACTACAGGGCATTTTCCTCCAAGCTCTAATACAACAGGTGTGAGGTGCTTTGCAGCTGCAGCCATGACTATTCGGCCAACTCTTCCACTACCTAAGAAAGAGAGACAGAAACTAAGGGTTTTCAGAGATATAACTATGCTGAAATAATGAAATATTGTGTCAAAAACAAGTACAGCTATAACCTGTGTAAAATATTTTATCCCACTTTTGCTCAAGAAGGACAGAAGTTTCTTCGACAGCACCCTCAACAACTTTTATTGAGGTATTGTCAACATATTCTTGAAATAAGTTTGCGATTAATGAGGATGTGGCTGGAGCGATTTCTGATGGTTTTAGCAGTACTGCATTGCCAGCTGCTATTGCACCAATCACCGGATCAATCGATAACACTGTCAATTTTATTTTGTAAGTAAAAATGACAATGACATACAAAAAATACATGTTCCTTTTCTTAATAACACATACATATAAAGTCTAGGATAAGGATCCAATTCAGAATCATAGAAGATAAATCCGGAGTATTCGCTTACATACAGAAAGGATAATTCCATGTTGAGATAACAAGGACAATTCCCAAGGGTTCTGAGACAATCTCTGCTGATGAAGGAAATGTTGTCAACGGAGTTTTCACCTGTAAGAAACATTGCATCCCCCTTCTTAAACTAGTTCAAACTTCCAGATTTCTGTCAATATTAATCTTAAGTGTCTAAAAGAAACTACTCACCTTTTCTGGCATCATCCACTGCTTTAGTTCCTTAATTGCCAACTTGCATGCAGATTTTATCATGTTAATCTACATTACAGCAGATATACATTAAGTGCAAATTGTCTAAAAAATTTGAATAATGTAAGCTTCCTAAGTTATATTCCTCAAGGATAATTTCTATGTAAATTACATGTGTATCATCATACATGAGATCGAATATCTTAAATTCAACTTCAATAACTATACGAATCCTGCAAATAAAAGTTGACGTCCAAAATAACTTAGAAAAGCTTTAAATCTGACCTCAGCGACAAATGCTTCAAATTCAGGCTTGGAAAGATCTGTATTAAGAGCTTCAATGATATCCTTTTCCCTCTCATCAACCATTCTAGAGATACCCTCCAACTGAGCTACTCTCCATTCATAAGTCTTAGTCTTTCCTGAATTGTACTCTTGTCTAAGCTCCTTAACTATAACTCCGGCTTTATCTGCATCAAAAGATGCCTTCCTTTTCTCTTCTGCCATTACGGAGATTGCTGCACTGGAACTTCACAGCGCGAGACAAAATCAGACATTTTTCAATGAATAACAAGAACACCAAGCATACAAAAATTGTCCTTGTTACAACCAAAAGAGTGGATAATCTAGTCCACTCATCATGCCTCTCCTTATGTTGAAACTCGAAACCATTTAAGAATTGTTAGGTATATATATACAAGTAATACAACTAGTCAAATCAACTGCACCAAGATATAAGCCATTCTTGGACTACAAATAGTAAACGACTACACGAGCCATTTCTATAGACAAGAAAGTATAAAACAACATAATGAATGCACACATACGTACACATATGTTAGTAAAACACGTAAATTAAATTAACCCAAACACGGCAACACGGGCCAATAACCTTAATAAACATGCCCATGTGTGTGGACCTAGACATGTCAAACATCCCATTAACACGTGCTATGGTTGGATCAAAAGTTAGAAAATTAATTAAAAACACATTTCATTAACATGTAATTAGTTCCTAACATTCTTGAAAAATAGATGATTATGTCAATTCTTGGAAATAAATTCATCCAACAACTATCCAGCATAAATCTTTAATTAAGTCAACACCTTATCAATTATCATAATAAGCGAGAAAAAGAAACCACACCAGTAGATACGTGTAGAAATCGCAGGAAGAAATCGACTTTTAAGCTGATAAACTGCCTTTAATGAAGAATTATTATTCCATAAACAACAATTATAAGTAGCCCTGCTCACTCCTGCTCCAAAGTTTCTATACAATAACAGGGGAGAAACAAAAAAAAAAAAAAACAATTAGATAAATTCCAGATACATAAAAACAAACTCTCTCGGTCTGAAATTAATTGTCACTTTGATAGTGTAATTTAACTTGTGATCTCGATTTGATGAGAAAGACGAGGATAAAAAAGAGAAGATGGGTTATACCTGGGATTATTCCGAAGTTGAATGGAGTAAGCAATGGAAGTCATTGATTTACAATATAAGTGTTTGAATGGGTATATAATAAGCCTTAAAATGTGGAATAATGTGATTACCAGAAAAATTAAAAAATAATTTGATGATGGAAGCAAAGAGAAAAACGAATTATAAAAAGATAAGTAGTTTGTATATTTTCTGGTTGTTATTGGTTCTGTTTCCGAAAGTCATAACTGTCATTTAGCGGCCTACTCGTGATTATTTTTATTTAATTTAATGATGTCACATTTTCACTCACTCACTTTATTTAATTTTTTGTCTCTTTAACACGTACTATAGGAAGAAGAAAGATTGGGTCAATATTACTATTGGGCCATCAATCCATCATTAGTCCTTGTAATTGGGTGGGTTGGGTTAGAATAACTCGAATTAAAAGGTGTTTTAAGGTTACAAGAAAGGTTTATGGTAGAGAAATCACAAAGATTATCTAATTAAAAAAAAAAAAGTATATTAAGTTACTGATATGATACTCCCTCCGTGTTTTAATAAGTGTTACACTTTGACCGACACATAGTTTTAGGCAGTTTAATTGACTTAAATAAAATAAGAGGTTAGAGGAGTAGTTGCAGTATTAAAAAATTATAAAAGAAAGGTAGTGGGGTTAATAGTTTATTGAAAAGTAATAAATGTGAGAGGATAATAATAATAATAATAATAATAATAATAATAATAATAATAATAATAATAATAATAATAATAATAATAATAATAATAATAATAATAATAATAATAATAATAAAGTAGTAGTGGGTTTAGGTGGGGACCATAAAAGGGGAGAGATAAAATACTAAAATATAACTTTTTGCCTAAAAAGGAAGTGTAACACTTATTAAAACACGAAGGGAGTATGGTTTGCATGTCACTTTTTTTTTTTTTTTTTTTTTTGAAAAAACTTTAATAATATTGGAGTTATTGTTATTAAAATCCCAATTTAAATCTTAGAATCTTACGATTTAGTTATTTTACATGATTCGATTTACGATTCTACCCGATTATACATATTTCTCTTAACTAGTGATATCCTTAAAAGTTTAAAACATGCCTATATAGTTATTTATAAATATATATTGTCAATTATTGGTTGCTTAATGGGTAAACAACTATTTTCAATCAATAATTAGGTTTCAAACTCATAATTTAAATATATTTAATTAAATTTAGATATGACGTCTTGATTATGCATGTCGGTAGAATCTTACGATTATATGATTTGATTTCGATAGCCCTTACGATTCAAAGTAGAATCCCGATTTTAATAACCTTGATTGGAGTACATATTAGTAAGTGATTTACCTCAAAAATTCATTGGCAAAGTATGATAAATTTTACTTCATTCGTCCTTATTGAAAGTGTGATTTTATCCCAAAACTTTATGTCTATATAAGTCTCATTTTGCCTTTATTTATTTCTGGATTCACTTCCTATCAACCAAACCGGTTTTTTTTTTTTTTTTTTTTTTTTTTTCACTTTTAACCAATCAAACCCCATTACCCCCACTTTATTCCTTTTAATATTCATATTTAATCAACAAAAACTCACTATATATATTTTTTCATTCATATACCTAAAGAGTTTTGCAAACCAAATATGTGACTTACAATACTGTGTTTGATAGTAATTTTTACAGGTTTGGCCAAATCAAAATAAAAAAAAGGTATTTAGTTTTGCAATGTAGTTAATTTAATACTCCGTAGTGATTAATAATGCAAGTAGCTTTTGCCCAAAACTTTAAACACCATACCGTAAACTAGCATCGAATTATACTCGTACTCTGTACCGACTAAACCTAGGCAATATCCATGTTTAAAACATCCATGAAATTCATCATTCAACATTGATTTGGCAATCTTGAGTCTTGAATTCAAACATTCTTGTTATGATTGAAGTCACAAAATAGTCAATTATTTGTACTAAAATTTTCACACCATCAAAAAATACCAAACTCATTAGTATCATCATCATACAAGTATTATTCATATGGGCTCCATATTTCCATTGTTGACCACCTAAACATTGGGCCAACTCATTCATTCATTCTGGAAAATCGAATATAATTCTGGGTCCATCTTTCTCTCTCTCTCTTCACTCTTAAGTACAGTATCAATCAAATTCAACTCAAAACAAACACAAAATTCCGAAATTCATTCATTACCCCCATAAAAAAACCTTCAATCAAAAGTTCTTCTTCTTTAATTTCCTGTAAATTTCTCTTTCTCTCAGAAAAAACAATGTTATCTGTAAAGCTGGTTAGATCTCTTGTTCTGGGTGAACCCATCATCAACCCTTTTCATCTTCATCATCATAATCATAATCATAATCATGATGATAAAAATGATGATGATGTTGATGTTAGAAAAACCCAAGTAGAGTATGATGTAGATGATGATAATGATGATGAAATCAACAAAACCCAGAAAATGTTGAAGAAGAAGAAGATGCCATTGTTGTTATTCATCCCAACTAAAGAATTAATCTGTGATACTTTTCGATTAGCCGCCATTGCTAGAGATATTGGCATGGATTTTCACCCTTCTTCTTCTCTCTCTCATCTCCTATTTTCATGGCCATCATCATCAACAACAACATCATTGTTTTCACCATCACCACCATCTTCATTATCATCATCAAACAATCGACCTTCAGTTTCATCGAATACAACAACATCGACTTCAACAATGTCGTTGTGGGGTTGTACCACAATTCCAAACGACGCCGTTCCAATCCCTTTTCCTTCTCTCTCTACTGCTTCTTCAATCTCTCTCCTTCGCTACTTTGTTTCTCTCTCTAAAGGGTTGTTCAAGCTTGTATTCCTTGAGATTGACCCTAATTCTAGGTTTAATTACTGTAATTATGATTGGGATTGTTCTTCGAATGTTGCTCTGGTTTCTAGGGTTTCTGGGAAACAGGTGAATTCAATGGAGGATTTTTCTAGGGTTTTAGCTGGAAATGGGTGGTCTCTTTTCCGGTCATCGGAGAATAAGAAAATGGCGTCGGCTTTGGTGTATTTGTTTAGAAAGAATGAATCGAATCGGGTCCGGGCGAAGAAGATGATCAAGGGTGGTGGTGGTGGAGAGTGTAGAATTAGGGAGTTGAGGTTGCCTGCATTGGATTTTAAGAGTGGGGTTCCATTGAGGATTTTGCAGTACATCTTGCTCATGACTGATGATCTCTTCTATCTTGCATAAATGATTTGGTGAGGTTTTTTTTTTTTTTTTTTTTTTTTTTTTTTTTTTTTTTATTTATTATTTTTTTTAGTTTTAATTTGAAGTTTTATGGATTATATGTTATGCTTTTTGGTAGAATAATTGCATTGCTATTGAATTCAGGAAAGATATATTCTTGATTGTGTATGAAGTATGAAATCATCTGCTTGATATATTAGGAATTGCTCCATTGTTCTGTAGGAAATTAGTACCAAATTTAATCAGTTTCATTGCAATACAATCTGTTGGAATTAGGGGATAGACGGTTTCGAAATTTGTATGAAGAAAATTTGTTTTCAGAGGAGCACTGCACTTCATGGTTACTCTGAGATTATGTTAGTGAAGGGCTGGTTGATTTTTGTGGTTGCCTTGCGATAAGAGTAACGCTACTTTGGTTAGTTGTTGTTACTCTTGTTATCCACCTGACTAGGGTAAAGAGAGCAAGAGGCCAACTTTATACTTACTCACTTGCTCTTAACTTTCTTGAAATGAAAGTAAAAAATGTAATTTTTGGTAACTTTTAGGTTGGGTAATAGTAACTTTGAATTGATGACTTGGGATTGTCTTTTTTACCATTTTGTGTAAAGGTGGAGGCCTTTTGAATTAGATTGATGTCATATCGTTATATGATAAATTAATATGTTGGCTAGTGTCTTAGCAATGAAAGAATTGAAATGCTTGCTGCCGGTTGATGGCTCTTTTTTGTTCCTTTTATTTTATTCCTATTGCCAATAATTTGCCAATTAAAACTTTTGAATCATAAGCTGTATAGTGAAGGGCAGAGGTAGTCATGAATATGAACCTTGTGCTGTAGCGGAGCTAGAATTTTCTAATGTGGGGTCGATATATGGTATACCTGTATCTCAATTGGTATAAGCTAAACAATATTGCAATGGATGATGTGAAATAGAATGTAACATGCCGTTGTTTTGAGAAGTGAAAGCGATTAGACCAAGGGCCTAGATCACTAGATTGATTGTCTGGCCACTTTCCTCAGAGTGTTCATCCACCTATGATTGTCTCCATCTGTTTGGAGTAAATTTGATAATATTTGTTCTCTAGAATGTATGTGTTGTGTTGTTTTTTCTTTTGGCAGTGGAGTGCGAAGTTAGAGGGCAAGGGGACCAGCAAATTTGCTCCGCTTAATCAGTCTTTTTCTTTAGCATTTATGCCAAACTAACAATCTAGATACTGTGCATTTTAAAATATGAGGGGCTAGTAATTATGTATTGTCATTTTTAAACATGGACCTTAGAAAGAATGAATGTAATACTCCGTAGTTTGTCAAACACAACACTATCAGCTCTGCACTTAAATGGTATATACTACACCAGAATCTAGCTACACCAATTTACCTCTATCCTGACATTAGATGGAAAAAAAAAAACCCATCAAAAAGTTGGATCTTTTGTTATGTTTGCCTTATTTTTTTATGCGCTGATTTTATCTGAAAGGAGTTACATGTTAACTGCAAAGACCTCTGGTTTGTGTCATTACTGGAACCAGCATTTTCTGGGCACCTGTTGATCATAGAATTTTACATGGCAGATTCTTTTTTGTTTTCTGTAGTATTCCTTCCAAGGCCTCTTGTTCCCTTTAAGCATATGCTTTTGTGTGCATACATTTATCTCCTTTCTACCGTCCTAGAAAATTAGATCTGCTTTACACTAAAGGACTAAATTGTGCTGTTGAACTTTTATTATAAAGAGCATGTATTTTACTTTTTCCTTCTACGATTGATTACTTCAGAGTTAGATGAATGTTTCCTTATTCTGATGAATTGAACTGAATTCAATTTTGTTCAGGGGCTATGCAGCTTGAATCCCAGTATTTGGCGAATCTCTTCAAGTAGACAGCAAAAGTACGCGTGGATCACTTCTACTTGGCCAGGAGAACCACAAACTATTCCAAGGAAAGCAAGGGTGAAGAATATCAGCAAAAGGAATGCAGCATCAGCTGACAAGGGAGTTCTACATGGAAAGCCCAAGCTCGATAGTGATCCAGTATACTGTACCAGAGATCGAACTTCAATCAATACTTTTTTCACACCTATGAGTTGTTAATATAGTAGACTAAGCAACGTGAATAAAACTGTAAAATGCCTGTGTATTCCATCCGTGTTAAAACTGTAAAAGTATTCTCACTGTACTTGGAGTTTAAAAAAAATGGAAATTATGGATTAGTCATGTTCCCGTCTGTGTACCAAAGTATCATGATTCATTACCATCAACTCCTTGAGTACACGGAGAGAAAAATATGAGTGGATATAAAATTACTTCTGGATGTCAGCTTGGTGGTTTATATGATATGATATTGTCTAGAGTAAGCTTTTGATTTGAGATTTTATAATACGAAGTACAATATAAGTGTTTCATAAACCATTAAAAGGAAGGTAATATTTTTTTGTTTTTTTTTTTGACAACAGGAAACTAAACGAAACTTACATAACACTAAATTGAGTAAAGTTCAATCTACACCTATTAGCTAGATCATGAGCCACCTGTACCTGGTCTCTTCCCACTTTCCACACCACACAAGATAATATTTTGGCATAAGAGTTTTAGTGACATCAAAATTCCAAAGCTCTCTAATATATATAATTCAAACCGTTTTGTTTTTATTATTGAGAAAACAAACCAATAGCATTGCCTTACTAGCTCTTTTCTTAGGAGGAATTTAGCCCAAGAAGTTCTCCTAGAATCGTTCCTATAACCGAGCCAACACCCACACCCACACCGACACCCACGGCTACACCTACACCCTCAACTTAAGCCACCTCACCACTGCCAAATGTTCCTAGGATGGAAGAGGACCACTGTCTGTTGGCATTGATTGCAAGAATGAAGTCAGAAATTATCTTACTGATCATCACCAAGCCTCATTGAGTGCCGAGTGTTGTTCGTTGCTCAAAAACGACCTAAGTTCCTTACTCAAGAGCACTTACAAGCATGCTCTGGTGCCGCTACGCCTTTTAAAAAAAAAAGTGCTCTTCAATTTTGGCCTAAAATTGGTACTCGTACCTAAATCACACTCAAAACCATTTCAATCTTAAACTTTACAGAGTAGTTACTCCAAACTTAGATCCAAAAACAAATGAATTTTTGGGCCTGAAATCTGCACACAAAACGATTTCAATAAAATGTGGGAAAAAAACACAAAAAACCAACCTTGAACCAGAGAATATATTACAACTTTTACGAGTATAAATCTTTACAAGCCAGCAGTCAGCTGAACAACTCAACTGATAAACTTCCGAAGCAAGTCCTTTGACGAATCACTTAAGTTACCCGAAGACAAGAGGCCAACAATTAATGAAAAAGTGTCTGCATCAGCTTCAAATTTCTTGCCAGTCATAATATCACAATAGTAAAATGCATTTGACAAGTCATTATTGAGAATATATCCTCTGATGATAATATTATAGGTTCGATCATCAGGGGGGCAACCATCTTCCTCCATTATTCTCAAAACGTGACCAACTTCACTCATGAGCCCTTTCTTGCAGAAGCCTTTGATCATTATATTGTACGTTCTAATATTAGGTTGAAGACCCTTTGATACGAGATCGGAGAAGAAATTTGCTGCATCTTCAAGTTGTCCAGCCTCACACAAGCTATTCATCAGGATATTGTAGATGGCAACATTTGGCTTAACACCATTATCCTCCATTTCTTCAAGCAATATCACTGCCTCATCAAGCTGTGCAGTTTTGCAAAGGCAGTCAAGCAAGGCACCATAGGTGAAGGCATTAGGAGCAATTCCATGAGACCGCATTTCCTTGAACAGCTTATGGACAAGTGGGAGTCTATTGGCTTTGCATAGTCCATCGATAAGAGTGGTATAGGTAACAACATCAGGGGTTATCCCTTTCCTAAACATCTCTTGGAAAATGTTTAGGGACTTGCCAATGTTTTTAGCCTTGCAATATCCATTAATCATAGTGCTGAAACTTACGAGGTCAGGCTCCCAACCATTTTCAGCCATGAGATCAAGTAGGTTCTCTGCATCTTCCATCTGACCACGCAAGCAATAACCATCAAGCAATGCATTGTAAGTAATGATGTCCGGAGTCACACCTTTCTCAATCATGTGCTTTAGAATGGACTGTGCTTGATCAACACAACCATCTTTACAAAACACGTCAACCAGCATGTTGTAGGTCTTAACATTTGGTGCTATGTTGCTCTCTAACATTTCGGTTAACACACGCTTAGCCTCTTCCCCAAAGCCAGAATTGTAGAGGCCTCGAACCAAGGAAGTATAAGTGACAACATTGGGCTTAATGCCCTCAGTTTTCATAGAGGAGAAAAGGTGCAGGGCCTCTTCTAACAGCCTGTCCTTACAAAGACTATCGATAATAGTGTTGTATATAACAATGTCAGGCTTACAACGACATCCAGATTGCATTTTTCTCAGAAATTTGAGAGCAGACGCATTATTACCAATCCTACAAAGCCCCTTGACAACAGTACTATAGATAACAATGTCAGGTTGTAAACCAAGCTTAACTATTTTATCTAACAACTGAGCAGCTTGGGGTAGCTTATCACAATGGATATAGCCATTGATTAAGGTAGTAAAAATGACAGCATTAAGGGGATACCCAAGCTTAAGTCTTTTACCCAGGAGAGAGAAACCCAAATCAATACGACCCAAATGACAGTAGCAATTGGCAAGAATACCAATAGAATGCATATTGGGTTTAATACCATACGATTCAAGCTGCCTGGAGAGAGAAATAACGGTGGAATATGGGTTTAAGCGCTTCAATTTGACAATTGCAGTGAATAGCTGATTGAAATAAATGACAGAAGGACGAGGGCGCAAATTAATCATTTGATTGAAGAGTGAAAGGGGAAAATTGAGATCAGAAAACCCTAATTCTGATTGTTCTCTAACAGATTGAAGTAACAATTCACGATCATTATTAGAATCAATTAAAGTAGTAGCAGGAGTATTACTGGGGAAATAATGGTGGAAATTGAAGAAAGAATAAAGAGGAAGACGAAGAAGGGTATGAAAATAGGTATTACCTTTGCTGCCATGGAAGAAAGCAAAAGAAGCGGAAGTTGCTGCACCATAACCAGAAGAACGAGCTCTGCAATTCATAGTATTTCTAAGTCGCCTTCTTCTTCAATCTCTCACTTACCAAGTTTTGCAATCTGTGAAAATTGTAATAGCACCACAATCTTTTTCTTGCGAATCGGGAAAAGAAGATTAGGAGTGAAGAAATGACTACTAGGGTCTATGGACATACGGTATCATTTTCATTACAATCCCATACGGTCGTACACTCACACGGAGTTATCAAGCTAAACTTGATTTAGTGGGAAAGAATACACTTTTTAACATTGGGGTTGAGGGTTCAATACTATTATAGACACTTTAAAGATGTGAATCTCTTACGCACCTGCAAATTCCAGGCCAAAAAAAAGTGAGGGTTAAGATACGGTTAGAGTCTTCCTCTTTACCTTTACAAAAATATACATTATATATATACCCAATTATATAGAATATTTCTACTCTAACCATTTTGGAGTAAATTAAATTTGAGGTGCCGGTGAAGTGGTGGGGCTACTGGGATGAGATGGGTGTTTGGATGGAGCGGTTGTTCTGAAGGGTGGGGGTTTATGACAAAGCTTCATGGGGAGAGAAGAAGAAAATGGAAGAAAGTAATTAAGTGGGCCCCACAAACGGAAATAATAACACAAACTGTCAATTAATAGCAAAATCTATATTTTTTGGGTTTTGGGTGATAGTAAAATAAAATAAAAATTTTGATGGATAGCAAAAATCAAAAGTCATGTATTTTATTGGTAGCAAAAGTCTAAATTTTCAGTATTTTTAGTCGTTAAAACTTATTTTTACTTATTCTCCATTATATTGGATCTTTAAAATTGTTGCATTTTTCTGATTAATGATTAGGAATTTTTGACTTATAACACTATTAAAAAGATGAAAAATGGATTATAACACCACAATAAAAAAATAAAAAAACTTTATTATAACATCAAAACATATATATATATATATATATATATATATATATATATATATATATATATATATTTATATATTCACCACCACTTAGCGAATTTTTGGATGTAATCTATTAGTGGGTGCCACCACGCATACGTGTCACTTTGGTTTTTAAAAATAATAAAAAGAAAAAAAAAACCCTTAATCCTAAGATTCCTAACCCAGGTTACCCAGTCACCACCCCCACCACCGCTGGCAGCCCCACCTTTCATCAAACCCCCATCGCTGGCAGCCCGCCTTTCCATCCAGCCCCCCTGCGGCAAGGTAAGCCGATAGTACCACCCTAACCCACCCCCGAAACACCCCAGCCCCATATGCGATCTCCCTTCCCCCACTCCAAATCCGGCGGCTTAACCCATTCGACCCACCCCTCCCTGACCCTCACCTTAAAACTGGTCGAAATCGACCCTAGTAGCCCTAGAACAATCGATTTTGGCCATCGATTCTGGCTCTTTAAATAGGTTGCCGGTTTTGGGAGAGGGAAAAGGAGATGGCGTTAGTTTTGTGGGTAGGGATGGTGGTTGTGGTGGTTTTCGAGGAGTGGGAGAAGGGGAAGGGGTGTGGAAAGGGATTGGTCGTTGACCAAGAGGGGTTCCGAGAATGAGGTGGGATCCAGCAAGGGGGGCTGACAGTTGGGTTGCCGACAGTGGGGGCGCTGGTGGTTGGGTTGCCGGCAGGCAGTGGTAGTTAGTTAAGGTTTTAGGGTTATTTTAATATTTCTTTTAATTTTTATTTTCCTTTTTTTAAAACCAATATATCACAGACACGTGTACGTGGTGGATCCCACTAACGGATATCATCTAAGAATCTGTTTAAGTGGTGGTGAAATTCATTTTTTGGTTTTTTACTTTTTTTGTTGTGTTATAATAAAAGGCATTTTTTTTTGATCCATTTTTCATCTTTATTGAGGTGCTACAAGTAAAAAAATCCTTAAAATTATTTTTGCTGAAATAAGTTATTTTTATTGAATTGAAATTATTTTACTTAACAATATTATTTTATGGTGAAGATACAATACTGTATTACTTCTTTTTGGACTAGTGAGTACTATACATAAGCAATGTGTGCTTTGATTTATGAAGCTCAACTTTTATCATGCTAAGATCAATATACTTTGTTAAGCCCATGAGCAAACCCACATACATGTGAGTGAAAGTGTTGTCCCGCATTGAAAGAGTATAATAGTGTTGGGAAATGTATCCCACATTGAAGAAACAAGAAAGTTGTGTCCACTTTATAAGGCTTAGGGGCTACTCCCCTCATTGCCATATGGTTTTGAGGTGGAAACTTCTTGATTGAATAAAGTGGACACTTGTGGCGGATGCGGCCCAAGCCCGTTTATCATACTACTTGCTCCATTTGCAAGTTTGGAATCATTTCAATAAAATATGAAGGGAGTAACATTTTGTTTGTTTACTAACTTTTTACTTTGTTTATTTTGTTAGTTACTAGATGGAAGCCCGTGCGATGCACGGTTTTTTCATCTAAGATTTTTAATTATTTGATTTATTGTTTTAATAATTTCAGACAAAATTACAAAAGTTTAATATTTATTTATTTTTACTATAATTTATAAGGCCATTAGAAAATGACACCTGCTAAAGACCCCGATTTTGATAATAACACCTGTTGAAAAAAAAGTTTTATTATAACACCTACAAAAATCCCAAAATTTTGGTTTCACCACCCACTAACGGACTTTTGGATGGAAACCGTTAGTGGGGCTCGCTATGTACACGTGTCAATAAGGTATTGGTTTAAAAAAAAAGATAAATAAAAATAAAAAGTAAAATTAAAAAAAAAAACAAAGAAAAACCCCTAAACCCTAACCCAGCCACCAGAGCCACCACCGGCGGCCGTCACTCCACCGCCGAAGACCCCCCACTGCCGCCGGAAACCCTTCCTTCACCGGCGGAATCACCGGCCATCACCCCCACCGACATTAGCCCCCCCCCCCCCCACAAATCCCCTTCCCCCTTCCCTCTCCCCGAAAAATCACCCCCACCCACCACAGCCCCCCCGCGAAAACCACCTAGCCCCTTCGCCCTCTCGCCGAAAACCACCCCTGGAATTATCCCTCACCTTCAAACCGACCGAAATCGACCTTAGAAGCCCCAGATCTGTCGATTTCGCGGTGGAGGCGAAAGAAATTAGTTGTATAGGGGAATGCCGGTGTTAGGGGAGGAGGTTTGGGAGTTGTCGGTGTTAGGGGAGGGGGTTTAGGGCGGTGCTGGTGTTAGGGGAGGGGATATCAGACGGTGCCGACTTTAGGGAAGGGGTTGTCGGTGTTAAGGGAGGAGGTTTCTGGGGCTGACTGGGTGTTAGGAGGGTTCCGGCTGCTGGCTTGGCTGGGGCAGGTGGTGCCGGTGGTGGGGCTGGTTGGGTTAGGAGATTAGGTTTTTTTTATTTAAATTTTTTTTTAAAACCAATACACAGCTGACACGTGTACATGGCGGGCCCCACTAACGTTTTTCATCCAAAAGTCCGTTAGTGGGTGGTGAAACCAAAATTTTGGGATTTTTGTAGGTGTTATAATAAAACTTTTTTTTTCAACAGGTGTTATTATCAAAATCGGGGTCTTTAACAGGTGTTATTTTTTTTGGATTTCTTACACTCGTAGTGTTGAATTAATAAATTTATCTTTTCCAATAATTTTACTTTATTTTTTTATTAAAATAATTTAATTCGTGGATTATAATCTACGTGGCATTAAAATTTTAGATATATCAAATCTAATTCGTTACTTTTATCTAGGTGCGTGGCGATATAAATTTTTAATTCAAAAATAAAATACAAATCTTTCTTCTTATTGGTCGAAATAAGTATATTTCTTACGTGGCGCTCCGAATGCTCTCCAAAAATACCTACTTTATTTATATATATTAGATTTGTATGTTTTGACTGAATATATTACGAGTACAAATTAACAAATTGAAGTATAGATTGTTTTGAATTATATTATTATCAAAATGAAACGTCCACTAATTGCAATACTTCGTATCTTTTATGTAATTGCATAGTTATTTTTCAACACTTAACTACTACCCTTCAAAATCCCAATTCTCAAATCTCATGCATTTAAGGTTTTTTTTTTTTTTTTTTTTTTTTTTTTTTTTTTTTTTTTTTTTGGCTATGACCTCCAATTTGTGAAACGCTAAACGTCGTCCTCATTTTACATACTAACGCCCGCAATTTGACTTTAACAGACTATTTTGCCCCCAATAACTTGCACTTCTCCATTTTTTTTTATAACTTCCACATCTCCTATTGTTTTTCTTTCTAACTATAAATATTATGCATATACCGTGCGTTAGCACGGATATACTCTAATTTAAAGAAATAAAGATTGAAAAGGCACTAAATGAGATATATTTGAAAAAAAATAACTTACTCCATATTGATTAATTATTATTACGATTGATTATTATTAGTGTAGTAGTAGAAAATTTACGTTATTTTTTTCGAAGGAGTATTCTTTTTTTTTTTTCCCATTAAGATTAAGGGTCTGTTCTGATTTACAGAAAACAAATGAACTGAACTTAACTAATTGAGGCTGAACTGAGTTGAACTGATTGGGGCTGAACTGAAATGAATTGTTTATAAGAGAAGAAAATTAGGAACTGAACTGAATTGAATTGATTGGAACTGAGCTGAACTGAAATTAAGCTGAACAGAACAGACCCTAAATGAATATTTATTTTCTAAATGATTTTTCTTTTTAAAAATTGATTAATACCCTTAATTGGAATGTTACTTTTTCTTTACTTAATTTGCCAATTGCACTAAATTGATTTTTATTTTATTTTATTTAATAATTAAAAGAAAATAATGAATAAAAGGCATAATAGATTCTGCAAAAGTTGAACACCAACTTTTCTCTACTTCTTCCCTCCTCCCTTCCTGTAATAGAGATCAAATTAGAAAATAAGTTGAGATATGATCAAATAAAAAAATAAAAAAATAATTTATTACAATTTGTTTAGCCCTAAGATCTTTTAAGTGTGCTGACTGTTGAGTCATTCAACAACAATACAGTTATATTCAAATCACTAACAAAAGAAAAAATGCCTTTCAATTTTGGCATCAAATTGGCTACTAAATCATACTCAAAACCAAATAATTTTTTTTTACATTACAGAGAAATGATGCAAGCCTGCAATCAGCGGAACTACAACTCAACTGATAAACTTCCGAAGCAAGTCCTTTGACGAATCACTTAAGTTACCCGAAGACAAGAGGCCAACAATTAATGAAAAAGTGTCTGCATCAGCTTCAAATTTCTTGCCAGTCATAATATCACAATAGTAAAATGCATTTGACAAGTCATTATTGAGAATATATCCTCTGATGATAATATTATAGGTTCGATCATCAGGGGGGCAACCATCTTCCTCCATTATTCTCAAAACGTGACCAACTTCACTCATGAGCCCTTTCTTGCAGAAGCCTTTGATCATTATATTGTACGTTCTAATATTAGGTTGAAGACCCTTTGATACGAGATCGGAGAAGAAATTTGCTGCATCTTCAAGTTGTCCAGCCTCACACAAGCTATTCATCAGGATATTGTAGATGGCAACATTTGGCTTAACACCATTATCCTCCATTTCTTCAAGCAATATCACTGCCTCATCAAGCTGTGCAGTTTTGCAAAGGCAGTCAAGCAAGGCACCATAGGTGAAGGCATTAGGAGCAATTCCATGAGACCGCATTTCCTTGAACAGCTTATGGACAAGTGGGAGTCTATTGGCTTTGCATAGTCCATCGATAAGAGTGGTATAGGTAACAACATCAGGGGTTATCCCTTTCCTAAACATCTCTTGGAAAATGTTTAGGGACTTGCCAATGTTTTTAGCCTTGCAATATCCATTAATCATAGTGCTGAAACTTACGAGGTCAGGCTCCCAACCATTTTCAGCCATGAGATCAAGTAGGTTCTCTGCATCTTCCATCTGACCACGCAAGCAATAACCATCAAGCAATGCATTGTAAGTAATGATGTCCGGAGTCACACCTTTCTCAATCATGTGCTTTAGAATGGACTGTGCTTGATCAACACAACCATCTTTACAAAACACGTCAACCAGCATGTTGTAGGTCTTAACATTTGGTGCTATGTTGCTCTCTAACATTTCGGTTAACACACGCTTAGCCTCTTCCCCAAAGCCAGAATTGTAGAGGCCTCGAACCAAGGAAGTATAAGTGACAACATTGGGCTTAATGCCCTCAGTTTTCATAGAGGAGAAAAGGTGCAGGGCCTCTTCTAACAGCCTGTCCTTACAAAGACTATCGATAATAGTGTTGTATATAACAATGTCAGGCTTACAACGACATCCAGATTGCATTTTTCTCAGAAATTTGAGAGCAGACGCATTATTACCAATCCTACAAAGCCCCTTGACAACAGTACTATAGATAACAATGTCAGGTTGTAAACCAAGCTTAACTATTTTATCTAACAACTGAGCAGCTTGGGGTAGCTTATCACAATGGATATAGCCATTGATTAAGGTAGTAAAAATGACAGCATTAAGGGGATACCCAAGCTTAAGTCTTTTACCCAGGAGAGAGAAACCCAAATCAATACGACCCAAATGACAGTAGCAATTGGCAAGAATACCAATAGAATGCATATTGGGTTTAATACCATACGATTCAAGCTGCCTGGAGAGAGAAATAACGGTGGAATGTGGGTTTAAGCGCTTCAATTTGACAATTGCAGTGAATAGCTGATTGAAATAAATGACAGAAGGAAGAGGGCGCAATTTAATCATTTGATTGAAGAGAGAAAGGGGAAATTTAAGATCAGAAAACCCTAATTCTGATTGTTCTCTAACAGATTGAAGAAACAATTCACGATCATTATCAAAATCAATTAAAGTAGTAGTAGGTGTTCGTTTCGGGGAATAATGTCTGAATATGAAGAAAGTAAAAAGAGGGAGACGAAGAAGGGTATTAAAAAAGCTATTACCTTGTCCTTGGCTGCCATGGAAGAAGGCAAGAGAAGCGGAAGTTGCGGCACCATAACCAGAAGAACGAGCTCTGCAACTCAAAGAATTCATAGTATTTCAGAGGCTGCTTCTTCTTCAATCTATGACTCAGTTGCTAAGTGTAGTAATTTGTGAAATTGAGATAGCACCACTGTGTCTTTCTTGCAAGTCTTGAAGGAGAATGGAGAATTGACTATAATGGGTCTAGGGTGACCATATAGGGCATATACACCCCCATTTCAGAATGAAGTACTAGTAACTTAAATTCCATGCTACAAATGATCTTCCAATAATTAGATCAAAGCTTAAATTAATGCGCTTCTAATATTGCTAAAGTTAAAATTCTGATTTAATACTTAGCATGAGAAGCCAAGCTTTAATTAATCATCATTTCTAAGTAGAATACAATTATGCGACAATCAAAATTTAAAAATAATGTGAAATTCCCTCGAAATTACAAGTTTACTATTATGAATTTTCAAAATGGTGTAATAAATGGTAATTTTGTTTGTAACCGGTGGCGATGCCAAGATTTTAGCCCAAGGTAAAGGCTATAGGCTATGGATGTCTCATAATTTGACAAAAACGTCAAAAAAAAAAAAATTGTTTGACATTTTTGAATTAATTGAAAAATGCAAACCAATCACCGAATCATACCGTCAAAATTATTAAATAATGGGTAAATATGAAAATTTCAATTATAACTTTAGTATATTCTCATTTTTTCCCTCTTTGATTCCTTAATATTCTCACTCGTTCTGTTCCGAAGTGCCTCCACCACCGGATGCCATCAATGTCAACTTTAGTAAATCAAGCAAGTAAGTTTTTAAGTGACGAGTGTTGGAAGTAAAGATTATGTTACCACTTCCCCCTACTTTCAACTTTTAAGTATCTTACACGTAAATACTGAATCGAAAAAACTGCGGGTGTTAAAAATTTGAAATCAAGTCAAATTCCTTAACCATACCTTCTAACAAAATGTCAAAACTTTTTTAACCTTAGTTTTTCTTCCCTGTTCCCTCTAACAAACTGCGCCTTCCTCTATTATCCATTTCTTCTCTCCAAATGGTTACTTCTAAAATCTCCCTCTTTCTCTCTCAAAATTAACCAAATTACAGAACCAATTTCATTCCAACAATTTTGAATTTGAAGCAATATATCTTGCTCAATCAACAATAAAAAATGTTCAGTAAAGCCCAATGCTTTGATATCAGCTGTTTTTTCCAGTCACCCTGTCATCTACACACCTCATTCACCATCAGATTCTCAGTTTCTCCTCTTGAAACTCATGATTCTTCCAAAAAACCCAGAAATTCAAACGTTCTTGAAATACCCAATAAAGGGCACAAGAAATTCCGAAGATTGGAGAAGCAGAATATCAACCCAAGTGGCGCAGTTGATAGATTGAGTAGTTTGAGTAAAAACCCACCTGATTCTGTTGATGAATTGGCTAAATTAAAATCTGGGAAGAGTCAAAATCATCATAATAAGATTAACGGTGCGGTTGAATTAGAAGGAGGGCGTGGAAATTTTCCTAAAAAAAAGTTGCACACCAAGTGTTCGACGAAATGGGCCTCTTATGGAGGGTGTATTCCGTCTATATTGTTGGCGTTGGAGAGTATTAGTGACTTAGACGAGGCGTTTAGGCCGTGGGAAGAGAGACTTAGCAACAAGGAGAGGAGTATTATTTTGAAGGAGCAGTTGAGTTGGGAGAGGGCATTGGAGATTTTTGAGTGGTTTAAGAAGAAGGGTTGTTATGAGTTGAATGTGATCCATTATAACATTATGCTTCGGATTCTAGGGAAAGCGCGGCAATGGGGTGAAGTAGAAAGGTTGTGGGATGAGATGAAGGCGAAGAGGATTGCACCGATTAATTCTACCTATGGTACCCTTATCGATGTTTATAGCAAAGGCGGTCTTAGAGAGGAGGCTTTAGTTTGGCTGCAAAGAATGAATGAACAAGGAATGGAGCCTGATGAGGTTACTATGGGAATTGTTCTCCAAATGTACAAGAAAGCAGGGGAGTTTAGAAAAGCTGAGGACTTCTTTAAAGTGTGGTCTTTGGATAAATCAAAAAAAGGGAAGAGTGCACTCGAATCACACAGAGCCAGCGCGATGAAGGTGAATTCTGGGGCGCAGCTTAGTTTGAGCTTGTATACATATAATACTCTCATTGACACGTATGGAAAATCGGGGCAGCTTCAGGAAATGTCTCAAACATTTCAGAAGATGCTAGGTGAAGGAGTTATTCCTGATACAATAACCTTCAATACAATGATTCACATTTATGGGAACGCTGGCAGGTTGGAAGAGGTTAACAAATTGGTGCGAAAGATGAAAGAACTCAACCGTGACCCTGATACTAGAACATATAACATTCTTATATCCCTTTATGCTAAGCGTGATGATATCAACCTTGCATTTAGTTACTTTGCTCAAATGAAACAGGCATGCCTACAACCGGATCCTGTGAGTTATCGCACCCTTTTGTATGCTTTCTCTATAAGGCAAATGGTTTTTGAAGCAGAGATGCTTATCTCAGAAATGGATAAGAGAGGTCTTGAAATGGATGAATTTACGCAGTCTGCCCTGACTAGAATGTATATTGATGCTGGCATGCTTGAAAAGTCATGGTCATGGTTTGAACGTTTCCACTTCGAAGGTAAAATGACCACGGAATGCTATTCTGCTAACATTGACGCATATGGAGAGCGTGGGTATGTTAATGAAGCTGAGAAAGTTTTTGTCCGTTGCCAAGAGAAGAACAAAATAGGTGTGTTGGAATTCAATGTGATGATCAAAGCTTATGGCATTGGTAAGAAGTACAATAAAGCATGTCAGTTGTTTGATAGTATGGAGAAGCTAGGTGTTCTGCCAGACAGATGTAGCTATATATCTCTCATACAATCGCTAGCAGCTGCGGATTTGCCTCATGTTGCAAAGCCCTATCTGTTGAAGATGCAGAAAGCTGGTCTAGTGAATGATTGTGTTCCATACTGTGCCCTGATCTCAAGCTTTGCAAAGCTTGGTCAGTTGGAATTGGCCAAAAGCTTGTACAAGGAGATGATCAATTACAATGTGCAACCTGATGTTGTTCTTTATGGTGTGCTAATTAATGCTTCTGCAGAGAGTGGAAATGTTACAGAAGCCATGGACTATGTTGATGCTCTGAAAGAGGCAGATCTCTCATTGAATGATGTAATCTGCAACTCCTTGATCAAACTCTATACAAAAGTTGGATACTTAGAAGAAGCATTAGATACTTACAAACTGCTTCGATCATTTGAGAAGGGTGCAGATGTATATTCTTCAAATTGTATTATTGATCTGTATAGCAAACGATCAATGGTTAGGGAAGCAGAAGAAACTTTTGATGATATGCAGGAAAGAGGTGAAGTAAATGAGTTCTCATATGCAATGATGCTTTGCATGTACAAACGGGTAGGCAGACTAGATGAAGCAATGGAAATTGCAGAAAAGATGCAGGAACTAGGACTTCTGACGGAGCTGTTGAGCTATAACAATGTGCTTGCTCTATTTGCTGTTGTTGGAAGACTAAAGGAGGCTGTTTCTATTTTCAAGGAGATGATTAGTCTTGATATTGAACCTGATGATGCTACTTTTAAGTCACTTGGATTTGTTCTTGTGAAATCTGGAGTTCCCAAGCAGGCTGTTGCTAAGCTGGAGGTAGAAAGGAAGAAGAGTACCAATAGTGGTTTGCAAGCATGGGTGTCAGCCCTCACTTCTGTGGTTTGCACGGACAATTATGGCGACTATGATGGCGATTAAATGCTCATTGATCAACCTTGGATCCTTGTTCTTAAGTAGCCATTGCTGTAAAGAGTAATGTAGCTGTTGCCAATCTACGCACACAGAAGCATGGAGCTAAAATGATTGTTTTCGTGCTCATGACGAACACTGATGCTATGGAGGCTTCTGTTAAAGACTGTACATTGCCTTGGCAATATAATTTATGGTGTTTTAATTCTTTATCTTGTTCTTTTGTAAGCTTGAAAATAATCTCAAAAATTGTACAAGTAATTATGTGAAATAAAATTTTGTAGAAATAGAAGGAAAGTTGTTCATCATCAATCTCATAATCAGGTTATAAGCGATAGTTGCTGAACATTAATATTTGGGTTATCTGGTACTGATATTATTGATAACTGTATGTCTACAAATGCAATGCAGTAATCGTAGCTTCCGGCCATCTGAATATCTGATCCCTACAATTCTACAAGTGTTCCAGTATAGTCCGCTTTCTGCATAATCCATTGGACTGAGTATTTACTAGCACTTGTTTATGATATCAAGTGATTGTTTATTTGTTTATAATATTACTCACTAAAATCTGGTAATGAATCCATGTCTTTTGTCAAAGATCGACAGGACCTAGCCATTAATTACAATGTAAACAACTTTAAAATTTCCATGCAAAAATTGTCCACCAAGACTGAAAAATTCACAGAAACAGACTTTACAAACATATCTAAGACGCACATATCATAACAGAATTCATGTTGTATGAGCAGTATGTGTCCGTGATGCCCATATACCAAACACAAGAAACCAGAATACAAACAAGATTGCCCAGTATCGCGCTGGTCCATATTTGATCCTGGTTAGTACAATCTGCAAAAATTTTAAGAAAATTACATCAATTTCATAATAGCAACTCCTCAACTCAAAACACAGCCGTGCCACAACAGTTAGGAGGCTCTTTGAGGAGCAAAGATAGCCTTGAAAAATACTAACAGGACAACCCTACGGAAAAAAAAAAAAGCCACTCAAATTTAGAGTAAGTTATTGCAAACTGTCTCATTCCAAATTTTGAGAACTGGACAGGGAAGTAGGGAAGATAGATTGATTGAGTATAGTTAATGCACTTTGCAAATTTGGTTTGGCAAACAGGCAAATATCTAGCTTTCCTATAAAAGCATAGATTTGAAGTTTAAGGTATCAATAGTCAGTCACATACTCACATTCCTTAGCTTGAGTGCTGTAAGCAAACCCAGCATTATCTGGAAAAAATGATTTTGGGCAATAATGCCCTTTATAGATGTCACGATGAGATATTTATGAACCACTAAATGAGTAATTTTACTATTTAGTATTAAAAATATCACTGCATCAAGAAATTGCAGTTACTAAACATGGTTATACACTTATACCTAGAAGAAACAGTACATCCTAACTTCATAAAAAAAATGTTTTTAAGTGAAAAGGTGCTCAATTATATTCAATGTACAATTAAAATATTATTTACGTTTGACAATTGTGACAGTCAAAGAGTTGAAACTAAAGCAGAATAGGAAAGTAGCATGACTAAAGGTTTAGATGTATGTCAAACATGATTATGTTATTAAGAAAAAAATTAACACATCAAATACTAATATACTTACACATATTGGTTACACACACACTTGGAAAGTGAGACCAATTATGACTATGTCAAACATGATGTATTGAAAAATCACTTACATCTACAACTAAATCATATGCGTATTTTGTTGCAATATGTAAGTAATGAGTGTAAGTATGCACGCACGCACAATGTATTTTGTATGTGTAGACATGACCTAATGCTTTGGTGTCTATTCTACTTGTAAACCATGTGGTCCACAGTCCACTACTCCACTATATGTTTATTGCATTTCGTTCAGATGGCTCTTATTTTCTTAACATCTCGCTATTACATATAGGTGATCTCGGGTGAATACAAAGAGTAAACAGGACAATTTGCTACAGATAGCATAAATGAACTTAAGCAAATCAAAACACCTACTTCATGCACAGCATATAAATAACCTCAAAGAAAAGCGAAGATAACTACTTACAAAGCGAAAGAAGACAACAACAGCTAAGGCACAAACACCTCCAAGAAGAATGTGAAGACCGTTTTTTGCTGTTTTCTGCAAATAAGAACACAGCTATAGTGTAAATCATGAAAATATTATTTGAAACAACTATCATTTGTCCACTTGTCAGATCATACAAAATTATCATGCCAAACAAAATCAAAGGCAAGTTGCCAAAACCAAACATAATTAGCCGTTACATCCATATGAAAATATCAATGACTTCTTGCCAAAAAAAAGTAAAAAAGTGACTGGTTGCTCTTGGATGATAAAAAGAACAGCAGTAACACCATATCTCAGTCCAAAAGGCTCACTCTGAAGTCTGAACTATACAGGGGATCAGAAGTATTCATATTCAAAAATTGTATTGGGTAGTTTATCATTTATGCCCTCAAGGGATCAATTTTGCTTCCCTTGTCAGCATCTATGAACAGCAGATTCAACCTAAGAACACAGGAATCTGAATTGCTGTCATTTTCATAATTTATCAATCATACAGGTGTGGAGAGGCATTTTTTGCACCATAACATGAGCTTTAGGTTATGATTCTTATGAATATTTTTGCTTCACCTTATTTAAATAATTTATTACTTGCGTGATATATATCTTTTAGCTGCATGTTGACAATTAATAATGACAATTCAATTTTTGGAAAATACACACTAACAAGATCCCATCCCACTTGACAATTTTTTTTTTTTTTTATTATTTTTTTTAATACATTAGTAAAAAGATATGGTCAAAGCTTAGTCAAATTATGGTATGATTAGATTAGACCAAATCACTTTATTTTAGGTGAAGAAAACAATAACCTTAATCAATCAGCTTATTAATTATTAGAAACATATCATATCAGATGAGACTAAAACAATCAGACCAAAGTCACCAAACCAAATAAGATGTTATTCCCGTCTCCTTATTACCAAATAGTCATAATTAGGTTAAGTCCCGTGCCATGCACGGTCATAATTAAATTTAATTTTACAACAAATAAATTATAAATCATGGTGTTAATTCAACAATAACTTATCCAAAAAAATTCTTTGTAACAAAATAACTTGAATTTTAGTTTATACCAATACCAATTACCAAATATGTAAAGGTTGTTAAATTGGATTGTATAAAAAAAAAAAAAAAAAAAAAATTAGTAATAGAAATTTAGAAGCTTTAAGGTAGTTTTATATAAGAAAACTAAAATATTAGCTTAGGTTAGTACCCATATACGAACTCATATACATTTATCCTTAAATTTTTGACACACTTTGAGCGGCATAATATGAAAATTTAATTGATTGTATTTTACTTTAATAATCACATAAATATTAAGACTAATTAGATTTAATTTTCGAATATATATTATGTATACAATAATAAAATGATTTTGTTTTTATAAACGTTATGTAATTTTAAGATTTATACAAAGTATGCTACCAAAATGATTTTTTTTTTCAATTAAAATAAATTTTATTGTCAATGATAAAAGTTGGAGAAAAAATTTGATATTGATAATATTATAATAATCTTGGAATATAATATATTACAATACCTTATTTTTAATCTATGTTATCTATGTTAGTATTTTTGTAAGTAAAAGTCTCCTAGTATATAAAATATATGTACAAAAAAATTGAGTATAATTGGATTAAATTAAATATGTTGTCAAAACGGAAATAATTATTATTGTAGGTTATAAAATGAATGTCATAAAAAAAATGGCAAATTAAAAAAAAAAAAAAAAAAAAAAAGGAAAGAAAAAAAGGCGGGAAAATTTTTAACCAAGAAATGACAAGTGTCATTCCAGGTTTCACCTTTAGTATATAATTATTAATTGATTATTGATTCCATACAAATACGAAATATGACAATTAGATAGTTGGAATATACATAATAAGATCTATTTAATGAGATCTCACTTTAAAATAGTTTTTTTTTTTTTTTTTTTTTTCTTTTTTCTTTTTTTTCTTTTTCCTTTCCTTTTAGCATAAAAGTGCGATCAAAGTACAGAGATGAGATCAAATAGACTAGGACAAACAAGAGCAACTTATTTTCAGGTGAAGATACTACTCTTGTTTAAGCAATTCTCAAACTAATCATCAATAAGATCTTGGACAGGAGGTCCTCTGTACCATGTATCTATCAACCCACCCCCAAAATGATTGTTCAACATGTGACTAAAAGAACCCTTATTTGTTGCAGCAAAGCCCAAAGGACATGTATCAACTTCACCAATTTATGAAATTAAACCAAAATGCAAAGTTCGTGCAGATGAGCATTTCCAGATTAGAGATTTTTTTTCAGAGAACATAACAAATACGTAGAAAAATGAAACATGGATCTTATATTAAACAAAAATATGTATATTTTTTTTGAAACCAACAAAAATATGTATATAATTACTATGACTTCAAATTAATGTTGAAATCTAAGATTTATCTTTTCACCTTCCTCAATGAGATAGGAGAGGATTTCCACAAGTAACTTATAATTTAATATTGCAAGAAAATAAGAGAAAATTGCCCCACCGTGTGATACTCTAAATACAAAGAAGCATTAAACCAAACATACCCTTCCAACGCGAGGAGCAATGAGCCATGCAAGAGTAATAGTAAGCAGGCCTGTTACTAGCAATATCCCCGTACCTTCCACAGCCCATTTTGTAGCTGGATTCTGAGGAGGCGTGACATCTTGAACAACGACATTTGCAGGTGGTTCTGTAACAACCAAAATTGCAGGGGCATTTTCACTGCTGAAATTATTATGACGGTGGTGACCATGTGGATTAAACCACAAATAAACCTCACTAAGCCTCTGCCTGCGAATAGCTGCAACAGCATCAGGATCAACCCCAGAACTACCATGTACTTGTGCAGGATTAGGTACCCCACTTGCAGTCCTATCTCGTAATGCCTCATAATCTTTCAAAGAAGCAAGGACTTTCTTATAATCAGCCGTGCTAATATTACTTGCCACACATCCACATATTTCACAGACAGTAGACCCATGATTAACAAACCATTTCAGAGCACAAGCATAGTGTACAAGGGCAAGATCATTCTTACAAGCACATCCAAGTTCAATTAGTGTGTCCCGTTTATGACATGCTCCCATTTCTACATCTGTATTACAGACAAAAACCTCTCCTGTAGGGCTGATGAATTGCACATACCCGGGCTGCATTTTCTGATTTGTGTCCACTGATGCGCTACCCTCAACTTCATTATGGGCTATTTTCATGTGTGGCTCATGCAGCTCCTTCACATTATGTGACTCCTCTAGAAGGGGATCTATCCTTAAAAATCCCAAAGCAGCATCCCCTCTTCGGTCAGATTCAGCACATTGGCACACACGACAAGCGGGCAAGCCCAAATCCCTATCTATACTGAGCTGTGATGCAGTTGAAGCCCTTGAACTATTGCTTTTAGTTGGTGAAGAGCTTCCGCTACTAATTTCTAGGCTCATGGTTTCTTTTTGGCTTTCCTTACCCATCACGCAGATTGATATGATGCCCAAAAAGAAATACTTACAAAGTCATATATCATTCAACCAGTTCAAGTAAGACTGTAATCAAATCAATAAAATTCCCTTTGTGCTTCTCTAAGAAAAAGATGAGGTGCAACAATTTCCCCATATAGATTTGGTAGGCCTACTATACTGAAGTAAAAAAGGATAGATACAATTGAAGTTTTTAGCTCGAAACATTGTGTTGATGCTTAGAATTACAGCATTATTTTCCTCTCACCACACCGAGATACTGTTTTCGATATAAGGAAAACCTGAATTTCTGGAGCATGCCTTGAAACCTACACAAATCACATTTATTCTTCAATGGACATAACTAACATTTTTGAAATCATGTTAAGTCCATGTTGTGCTTCAAGTGTCTCAAACATAACAAAATAAAAAAGGGAACACATTGTGAACTCTGCATACTAGTATTTCACAGCCAATACAACACAAAAACACTTAGTTGAAGAAGGTTTTAGCTGTGATTTACTTCATTGGATCAAGATGTCAGAAGCTTAAATATCACTTTAGCTGATCCAACTTCAATGCAATTGGCCAAGAAACTACCGAATAAGCAACTCCAAAGTTCTAACATCCTACATAAAAAGCTATGTTTTTATACTATCTCTGATTCATATTATGTGCAACAAATGAGCTTGTGCAACAGATTATGACAAAATTTGTTTGTGAGTGGTGAATGGAGAAAGAAAGATAGTGATGCATGTGATGAGGAGGGAGATAGAGATAGTTGAAAACTTAAAAAGGAAAGAAAACATTTGTTTCACATAATGTGTAGCAATCATTTTTAGTAAATTTTGCACATAATATGAAATAGAGGTAATTATTCTATAAGAGCACTGAATGCACAAAATTCCGAGTCTTTTCCCTTTTTGCTACTTTGAGTGCCACTCATTCAGCATAAAGAGATAATTAAATTGAAAATATGTATAAGCCAATTAAGCCATCAACCAGAAGAATTTAAAAGAAAGAAGAAAAGTTTAAACATCCCCCCACCCCCCACCTTGTCAAACACTAGGATACATCAATTCATTCATTTTCCCACAAAGTTGAAGCAGCTAATAGCTAGGTTATTCAGTTGTTTTTCGAATCAAATAATTAAAAGGGAATGATGTCTTTCAGCTGTAGGGGTAAGGCTAAAGGTGCCTGACTGCAATTGAATATTTGAAGATGAGTTCATGTGAATGTCCCCCACCCCTCCCTTTTTGTACTGAACAGTGCCAAAGGCCATGAACATCACTTATGTCATGTGAATCTCCATTATACTCCGTAAAAGTCAACTCTTGAGGTCTTTGAAGTCCACCTAGGATAACTTAACTGCCTTGACTTTTATACGCACTCTTTAAAAGTTTAATATTCTCAATGCGAATGTTTTTTCAGCATATGAAGTTAGATCTAGTGATATATTGAAAAGGCAAGGGCAAACGAAAAGAAGAGCATTCGTATACGTGATTGCATAAACACAACCGCCTTGTAATGCTCCCCAAGACAAACAGCATCCCCAGGAAACATGCTACAAGCAAGTAAAGTTGCAAACTGACTAGTACAGTCTTCGCATACACTCTACCCTCTGAAAATTGTGTTGCTTACAAGCCCATCCAAACTCCCAACATACCAAACAAATGGTAAACTACAACACAGGAAAAGGGGAAAGTGCTTAATCGAGCCGCGTAGAAGGCAGCCAAGGCACATTTCAGCAATCAACATGAAACATCAGCTCGCACTCTATGCAAAAGTATCTGAACTACTTTCATACAAAAGCTCCTTGCAAAACCCTCTAAAAACCCAAATCATCAATGCCATACTTCTTACAAAAGAACCTCAATTACACAACACCAAGTTCATATATACACCCAAAAGAACTTCAAAACAACAATACCACAGCATTACAGCGAGCCCAGAAAATTCTAATTACTTAAAGACATACCCAATCAAAAAAAGCAACAGAACATTCAAATTCCAAAACAAATCAAGTCAAGCAAATTCAACAAACCCACATTAAAAATTATTTTAGATATGAATAAAAAAAACCTAAATAAAATTAAAAAAATGATTGAAAATTAGTAATTCAGTCAATAAGAGTCAAATCAATTAAAAATCCAGAAATATAAATCAATAAATTAAGCAAGAAAAATAAGGCTAAAATCAAAATTTAATGACAGAAAGGAGAGAGAAAAAGATCACACCTTGAATTGGGTATGGTTGTAAAGCAAAGTAACAATGGAATCAGATGCTTAACCACCCACCAAATTAGATATATTCAATCAAAAAAACTACTATTGAGATCCAATCCACAAAAATCTTTGTTTATTGCTCATTTTACTGAATTTCTTTCAATATTTTTAATAATTATAATTACTAAACTTTAATTAAAATGGTGGGATGTGTATGTTGCTTGTGATAGTGAAGTAAAGTAAGCAAGAAGCAGCAAAAAATGGGCGGTTTTGTTTTGTGGGGAGAATTGAAGGAACAAAGTAGATATCACGAGAAACTGTACAAAAACAACCCCACAAATAAGATGAACTTTTGGGCATGTTAATTGTTACTGTACTGTTATTATTAGTGGCTTAATCTTCTTGATTTTTACAGAGATTATTACTCAACTTTTTAAAGTATTGTTAATGGAAAGGATTAATTGGCTTTTATTTGTTTTCTCTCTTATTTTGGGAACAAGATTCTCTTTTTCGTGATTTTAACTCTTTAATTAACGGTCGGATATGTATGATTGGGATTTTGTTACCATCTAAATTGTGAAATATAATCTTAAGATATGAATTCTTACATATAAATGAGGATGATCCTACTTTGTCTCTACAAAATCTAATGTTTTATTTTTAATTTTTTTGGGAAGGATTTTAGACCGGGCTTAATGATCTGTGAGGATCAAATTCTTGCATGAGATATTTATTCAATGATGAAATTTGAGGATGCAATGGCTATATAACATTTAAAATTATAATTCAATTTATTTATGATCGTTTCTAGATATATATATTTGGTAGGATATGATGATTTACTAAGATGTAAAGATAATAGAGGATATAGATACATGGTGGATACGATTATACCGCATTAATTACAAGGTTTTTTTTAAGGTAGAGATTAATCAAAAAGGAATCAATAAGGTATAAGAAGATATAAATTGGATATCTCCTTATATCATTATTACTTGTATTTTTATTTATCGTTGGAATTTAGATGGAAAGAACTGAACTTGACGTTCCATTTATTTATGCTTAACTTTATGCCTAGGTCTTGGCCCAATATGACTTAAATCGACTTTGTGTTATGCCAAACCAACAAAAACCTTGAATCACGCAAATTAACCCTCGTTAATGAGTTGTGCTATTTCATAAGAGGTCTTACGCTCTAACATAGGCTCAAACTAACCTGTACCTACAGATGGCCATTAGGTTGGGTCAACCATGACTTATTTGACAAGCCCAATCAATGGGTCACTTGAGCTAAAACCGATGACAAATTGATATCGATCACACACTCAACACAACCCAGCTTCAAAGACAAATTGTGGTTATGTTGAATATTGATACCATGAATCTAGTTAGACACTTAAACCCAACCCAACTCAGTCAAACCCGTTCAAAATTAAAAAAAATCCACATTGGCCGTCTCCCAAAATGTGAACCACACACCTAGCCTAACAAGATACAACTTATTGGTCGAACTAAAACTTATCCCAAGTTGGATGAGCTCGAGTCAACCCATACACATCCCAACTTAACTTAGCATGTGAACTGACTTGTGCTAGTCTTGTGTCGGAATTTTACAATCCGCTTGCCAGTCAACTCTACGTACTTAACAAAATCAACTATCTGTGTTCAACCTAAAATAGATCTCTCATATATGATGACACTATTACTCATTCTGCTTAAACAAAATAAAGTAATACTGGTGACATGTTTAGTCGTAAATGGTTGTTAGTTTTGATGATTAAAAATTTAATATTTCTAAGTATTGACTTTAATTATCATGAAAATATACTACATACGAGTATACTAATAATATATAGATGTTTATGTTCATCCTATAGTAAAATCTTGGTTAGTATTATTTTTAAAGGATAAGTTGATAAGAAAATGATGATTTCAAAAACAAAAATTTGACAGGAAACGCTGATAATAAACGGCGGTAATGAAATTATACAAAATTATAGGAAAAAACAATAATGTTTATTGTGTCATCATTAGGAAAAAACAAAATTATAGGAGTTGCGGGCATTACTTACATATGTACTAATAAGTTGACTTTTAAATTGTGTTATAATTTATTAAAAATGAATGTTGCAATTCCATAATAATTTGGTCCGACTTAAGTATATATGATGACACTATTACAATCCTATTACAAAAAATAATTATACAATATAATTATATTATATGCTAACACCATACTCTAATTTCTCTTATATAATTCATGAAATGGAGTATATTGATATCAACATCTCTTCATACAATTTCCATTACAGTAAAATTAAGAAGAGAGAGGGAGAGATTAGAGGTCAATGGCGTTGACTTTGAGGGGTTTAGACCTTTGTTTGGTTGTGGTTTTACTGTCGATAGTTTGTGGAATTCAAGGAGAGGAAGAGTCTGTGATTACTTTGGATCATTCCAACTTCACTGATATTGTATCCAAACACGACTTTATTTTTGTCGAGTTTTATGCCCCTGGGTATGTTTTTTCAACTATCTTATTTACGTTATCTACTCCCTCCTTCTCTATCAACTTTTTTGTGTGTGAGACAATTACCATCTAAACAAGAAGAATTTTTAGAAACGAAGAGAGAATATGCTTTGATTTAGAATATAATATAGTAGTAATGATTAATGAATGATGCATGAATCTATAGTACTCCATATTTAAGTCGTAGGAGGGGTATTAACTATTTAGACAGTATAAAAAATTTGAGATTGAAACTCGTCCACAAATATATTCTTTTATGGCTTTCTTTACAGTTACACTCCTGTAATTCTGTTTCAGGTGTGGGTTTTGCAAATCGCTTGCTCCAGAGGTAATGATAAACTTAATTAATTATGGCTTTCAAACTTTTTTTTTAATCTAATCATAACTCCTTAAGCAATCCTCATAATATATGGTCACTATATATTATGTTGTTTTACAGTATGAGAAAGCTGCTTCTATACTGAAGAAGCATGACCCTCCGGTCACCCTAGCGAAAATCGACACTTATGAAGCTGTAAACAAGCCCATTGCTAGGCAATACAGAGCTAGTGGTTACCCAACCCTTAAAATTTTTAAAAATGGAGGTAAAATCGTGCAAGATGAATACAAAGGACCGCGAAAAGCAGAAGATTTAGTTAAGTATGTGAAGAAACAGCTTGGTCCTGCATCTGTTGAGATTATATCAGTTGATGATGCTGCTACTGTCATTGATCAAACCAGGAGTTTCATTGTTAGTACACTTCTTTAATTACGTTCTTTAATTAAGATTGATTAATCGTGTTTATTATACGTGACATATATGTGTACAAAATTATAGCATAACGCTCAAATGTTCATGTGTACATGCAGGTAGGAGTATTCCCTGAATTTTCAGGGGAAGAATATGAAAATTTTACCAAGTTAGCTGAAAAATTGCGAAATGATTATGAATTTGTTCATACATTGGATGCTAAGGTTCTTCCTAGAGGCGATTTGTCGGTCAAAGGACCGATGATTAGATTGCTTAAGCCATTTGATGATCTCTTTGCTGATTTTGAGGTAATTGTATGTGGTAGATTATATTTTGTTAATTTGATATTTTCCTAGTTAATTTTATAACTTTTTTGTGTTAAAACGTATAATTACAAATTATTGATCATATTATTTTTCTACATGTTTAATCTTCAATATGATTCCACAGGATTTTGATTTAAGTGCCATGGAGAAGTTTGTTGTGAAAGAAGATGACCCTTCAGTCACGGTGTTTAACATGGATGACTCCGGAAATCCTTACATTAGTAGATTTTTCTCCGAAAGAAATCTGAATACCAAGGTAATTAATAAGGCCTGTTATTACTTGCACCCTGCACATATTCCCTCTGTGTGAGACTAACTATCACGTTGATAGCCTAATTTAAACTAGTAAATATATATATGTACTTGTATGTGACAACTAAACCGATCGAGACAAGGTAAAACAATAAATGTTACTACTGCATGATTCGGCACTTTTTTATTCCTTGTCCTTAGGCTTAACTTTGCCTGTCTTTGTTATTAATGAGTTTAATTTCATTCATATGGAGTCACGTAAATTATACCAATCTTTGTTATATATTTTGGCAGGTTACAATGATTTTGAACTTTGCTAGTGTTAATGCTGCCGCACTTAAATCCAAATATTATGATATTGCTCAGCTACTCAAAGGTGGCAAAATAAGCTTCTTATTGAATGACCTTGAGCCTAACAATGAACGTCTTCTAAAGGTAAGAAGGTTACAATCCATCGCAAAGCTTGCATAATATAATTACCACCGTCACAAAAATAAAGGTCCCTTTTATTTCGTCCCGAAATAATAAGTTGCTTTCTCATTACATTACTCTTGAAAATCTTGATGACAATACATAGCTTCTGTAAAAGCATCAAAGTACATCAATATAATAGAGATAAATAGTGAAGGATAAATATGTACGTCGTACAAAGTAAGAACTTATAGTATGTTAGCTATAGTTCTTAAAAATTACTTAAGAGTTAAATGTGATCTATTATTTAGAGACAAGAGTATTATTTTATATGAATATTATTTTAATCTAAGATGTTTTCTTTCTGTTATGTTTTGGATGATCTAGTTTTTCAAGCTCGACGAATCTCAAGTTCCTCTCATCTATGTACAAGGAAAAGGTGACAAAAAATATCTCAAAGCAAATGTAGAACCTGATCAAGTTGTGCCTTGGTTCAAGAAATTCCTGGTTGAATTCTTGTCACCTAAAACATTTAATTGTTTATTTAGTTTTGTTAAGTTCGAAAATAATTTAATTTAATGCTCGTATATAGGATGGCAAGATAAAGGAAGACGTAAAATCACAACCTATTCCTCAAGAAAACAATGAACTTGTGAAGGTGGTGGTTTTTAAAAACTTGGAAGATATGGTTTTCAATTCTGGAAAGGAAGGTGCAAATTTTGCTGAATATTATTATTATTATTACTCCGAAGTATTTTAATTAAGAGTTTAGATTTTTTTTTTTTAATGTCTACTTTGTGTCCATCAACAATAATCGATCATCTCTAATAATGTTGCTAGTTTTTTTTAAACATGCTCGTTATATTTGTCAATCGTTACCATTTATTTACATCATCATCGGCAGCATAATTTCATTTAACCAAGGGAAAACGACCCCTCAAATATGCTTTTGAGAGGAAAAGATTGAGTTTGTGAAATTAATTAATTTAATCACAATTCTTGATCCGTGCATGTATTACAGTTTTGCTAGAGTTCTATGCACCTTGGTGTGGCCATTGTAAGAAGCTT